GTAGAAAACAAACTGACAATACCATGGGAAGAAAACAAACTGACAATACCATGGGAAGAAAACAAACTGACAATGCCATGGGTAGAAAACTAACTGACAATGACATGGGTAGAAAACAAACTGACAATGCCATGGGTAGAAAACAAACAGACAATACCATGGGTAGAAAACAAACAGACAATACCATGGGTAGAAAACTAACTGACAATGACATGGGTAGAAAACAAACTGACAATGCCATTGTAATTTAAAATTAATATAAAAACCGAAGCGTATTTTCGTGATACCATTTTAGTTGTAAAGGACTAGAATAGAAGATCTTTGTCAGAGGATACTCCAGGGATACTCCTGGGATACGTTTACAACATTTGATATATAAATGCACATTTTGCCAACACCGAAGCGATGGTTTATGAATAAATGTTACCCTCAAAGACTAGCAGTTTTCCGTATCAAGAACATTTACACATCCGTTTCCACGCCGTGATCTTTAATTACATGTCAATATCATTAACATTGAGACGATTAATCTTTAACCCTGGACAACATTCGGTCATTAGAAGGTTACTGATATTTGTTTGATGATTAAACGTCCATTCTTTGTCAGATGAGAACAATGAATCTGTTTTCCAATCATGTAGAAATGGCTTGAGAACAATAAATGGAATAATAAAGCTAAACATAATGGAACTATTAGTTGTTTGTCATTTCAACATCATCATTACATATATTGACTGTATTTTAACCTTACGCAAACTCAAGCAAATTTCAAAAGGTTCATATTCAATCGGATGCAAAGATATGTAGTATTGAATTGTTTACAACTCAATGAACCGGAAGAAAAAAATATATAAAAGAACAGCGTCCCAACCAAAATCCCCCACCGATGCACATAATTTATCTAGCTAAGGACAATAACTCCAATGTGTATGTTTGTTCTTTTAAGACTCTTTCATAGATATCCTTCAAGACGTAGGCGTGATATCGCTTGCAATGCAGTTTCAATATATTCCAAGGGGCATTACTTCTAACAAAAATTGATCGGCACAGATTATCGAACTCGTCCAAGACCTTGCTAATATAAACTTTGATATAAATTTCATAAATTTCCAACAAGAAATATAGGCGTGAGAGTACTTATAAACAATTTTCAATATAATTTACATTTCATCGGTTGAGTCTTTTTTTAGACGAACCCTCTGTCGTACAAAATGTTAATCCTGTATCTATGATGAGTTTATGCAAAGGACATATTTCTGTAAAAATAGTTTATCGGCACTGATTTTCGAACTCGCCCTAGACACTGCAGATATAAACCTTTGATGACAATTTTATAAAACTCTTCAGGAAATGTACGCTGGAGAGCGCTAAAAACGAAATTTTAAATATTCTTTATATTTCTAAGGGGCATAACTTATTGAAAAAAGTAAGTGGGTATTGATTTTTTATATTGTCCGTGGCATTGCTGATATAAACTTTTATATAAATTTTATAAAAATATGGCAAGTATTATAATGGTTTGAGCTCTTACAAGACCGGACGGCGGACGGACGGACGCTCAGTATTTCTATGTTCTCTCGTCGCGTTGCGGCGATTAAACAAGACATAAAAATACAAAAGAACAAAACGTTTCAGATCGTTTAACGATGAGATCATAACCAAAACAACCAAATCCGTCTATGGTACATGTCATGAGGAAGTAGTAATACAAAGGCGAAAGATATCAAAGGGATATTCATAAGTCGAAAACAAACTGACAACATCATGGCAAAACACGAAATATTACCAAAAGTCAAACAACAATCAACAAAACACAAACAGTCTTAGATACAGGATTTTCTATTAGTTGGTATTGGGTTTGAACTAGCTGTCAGTAACTGCGAGTACTCTCAGATCTGTACGTTGTGTCTTTTTGTTTTTAGGTATGTATAATTACCCTGCCACGTCCGGTCTCTGTTTTTTGTTAGATGTTTTTCTTCTTTTGTTTCGATCTGATGAGTTAAACCCTTTTTAACTGATTTTTATAGTTTGTTCTTATGTTGACCTGTTACACCACTGTCTCCGGTGAGGGGAAGGGTTCGCACCTTCAAATATGTTTAACCCTGCCACATTCTATATGTGCCTATCCCAAAAACAGGAGCCTGTAGTTCAGTGGTTGCCGTTTGTTCAAGTCTGTCATATTTGTTTTTTTTTGTAAATTGTTTTGTTATAAATTAGGCCGTTAGTTTCCTCAATTGAATTGTTTCATACTGTACATGTCGGGGCCTTTTATAGCAGACTATACGGTAAAGGTTTTTCTCATTGTTGAAGGCCTATAATTGCTTACATCCGCTTAACTTTAACTGTGGTGGATATATATATAGTTATCTCACTGGCAATCATACCGCATCTCCTTATTTTTATACAACATAGAAAACTAAAGGCTGACCAACACGAACCCCACCAAAAACCAGGGTGATATTAGGTGTTCCGGAAGGGTAAGCATATCCAGCTCCATATGTGGTACCCGTCATGTTGCTCTTGTAAGTACAAACCCGGTGATAAGTTTAATTCGGTTGGTCATATTTGAGGAATCTTCATACTCAGTCGCTTAAAATAAAGAAATAAGGACATGTACTATAACTGTTAATGCAAAAAATATCTGCAAAAAGACCAAAGGGCAATGACTTGTACAACTACATGTCACCGTACGGTCTTCAACAATGAACAAAACCCATACCGTGTAGTAAAGTAAAAAAAAAAAAAGGCTCTGGAAAAAATCATGAGAATCAAAACAACAAAGAAAACTAAAGGCCTAACTTAAACTAAAAGTATTTAAGGGAAAATAATTTTGACCGATAGAAAAACTACAGGAGAACACGCTCATTCTGTCTTTTAACAGGCACATAAAGAATCATATTCTTGTACTTGATTTGAGACAAGTCAATACGACTTTCAATAAAAATGTCTTAAAATACATTACATAGTTAGATTTATAAGTCTATTTATCTGGAATGTTCTATAATCATGCAAAGAAATGACAGATCAGATAGATTACATTGGAGCATTTAGTCTATGAAGTTATTCCCAAACTGTCATATTTTATTATTACATTCACATTTTCTTCGATCTGCTCTGTCTGGAAAAGAGAAAAATGTTGTCATTTGAAACTTTACACCTACATTGCATCATGCTTTATCATACTGAACACACAAAGAAAAACATCAAGTTTTCAATTAACTTATGTTATAATGTCTAGCTGTTAGACGAAACGTAAATTAATATACGTAATAACGATGGTTATTGTGATGATTTTATGGTTCTGCGACTCTTTCACAAAAAAACTTGAGTGTACAAATACTCGTAAGTCAAACACATTTCAGTATAGCTTACGATCAATTCTAATCGGATTTTTTTTGTGAAAAGATTTGCTGGTCCTGTCTGGAATAAAATGCACATGATTTATATAAGATGACGTAAAATATGTGGCTCTATAACTATATGAACATTTAATATTTCATTTCAATGTAAAATATTTGTTTTTGTTACAAATCATAATGTATTGTTTTAGGTGTATAAATGTCATGATGCTCTTCAAGGGCCCTTAATTGGAACACTACATATTCTTATTCTCCTTATTCTATTCTTGCTCTCTCTGAAAGTAGAAAGATGGAAAAATGAAAATAACACTCATAAATTTTATGCGTCCTACGCACTTTTCTGGATTGACCTTCAACGCTCAAGATAAGGATGGTTACTATCGTAACTCATGAGGATATATATGACAAAACGAGTGATGAAAATAGTTTTAAACATCTATATATGACAGTCAAAGTATCGAAATGAAGCAAAAAGTCTGAAAAACTAAATTGACAACAATATACGTAGATTTCCAGATATTGTATTGGGAATTGTAAAGTCTTCTTTTCCTATGAAGGTCTTTGTACTTGACGGTTGCATACTATGCTCAGTGAAAACAAAAGACTAATTATGTATTTCAATGAAAAATAACACTTTACATAATTTCGTGCGTCCGAAACGTTTTTCTGGATTTACCTTACAACCTCCCCCCCCCCCCCTCCCCCCCCCCCCCCCCCCCAAAAAAAAAGGAAAAGAAAGCCAATAATGTACAAGACCTGAAAACGTGTGGAGCATAATGACCAAAACAGAATTAAAAAGAAAAGCCAATTCATCAAAGATTAACTTCGTAAATATTGAACTTTTAGTGGTTTATTTTACATCCGAAGTATTATATGATCACAAAATTTTAAACAATAACATATTCTGATTTTCATTATTATATGAATTAATAAACTGATCATTTGTATCATTAAAACGTAAGAAACAATAACGACTTCAAGTGCATATAAATCCGCGGTCAAATCCTACACTGTGTATTGTACAAAATACGGACAGATATACTTCTTCATAATGCATCGGCGGATTCGATGATTTGTAACCGCTTCGGTGGCCTCATGTTCGCCTCGACTGCGGGAGGTTGTGGGTTCGAATCCCGGTCGGGTCAAATCAAAGACTTTAGAATTGGTATTTGATGCTTCTCCTATAAGCATGCGGCATTAAGGAGTAAGAACAAAGAATGGTCTGCTCGGAGTCAGAATTATGTGTCCGGTTAGGATGGCATGTCTCCCAGTGGACTGTTACATTTTTTATACCTTGTGAACTAGCGGGTTAAAAATCCGGCTCAGCGTGTCGGTCTAGAGCAAAGCAGTGTTAATATTCGTATTACATTAACATGTTCTCGTTCTGAATACGCATTTAATTTACCACTGCGCGTTAAACAGCCACCCATCATCATCGTTGATTTGTTTAAATTGATGAAAAACAATTAATGTTCTCTGAAAGACGTGTGATATGATTTCCTTTCATTTATAGTTGAGGGACAATATTATTTTATCAGTCTTACGTGATAAAACGTAAAGTTTTAATATAATCACAGGTAAATTCAAACATCTATATTTAAATTTACCCGAGAATAATACAGCTATTTTTAAATATTTGATTTTACAACCATTTGTTGGAACATTTCCATAAACTCAGTAGCATGTTTAAAAACAACAAACTCCATTCTTATTCATTATCATGGACCCCAAAGGTTTAGTTGGAAAAACATGTGGAGAGTTTACAGTAGATAAGCTAATTGGAAAGGGTACATTTGGACTTGTGTATTTGGTGACCAGGACAAATGAAAAACCAACATGTACTGGCACGTACAAGGTATCGTGTATTATATCGTGTGTTCATGTTGTAAATACGTACAAGGTATTGTCATGATTGTGAATAATATCGTGTGTGCATGTTCAGTGTTAATGATAACCAAATTACAAAACGTTTATTTTGTTTTAAGATAATCGATGAATTTATGTTAAACAGTATAGTTTTATGATTGTGTTATTTGATTGATTGATTGAGCAATTGTATCTCTCCAAGTCAAACGTAACCTTGACCGATGTCAGAGATTTTTGTAAGAATCTCACCAAAACTTGGAGGCTTTGTTTTAAATGATGAAATAAAAATTCAAAATCAATAGATGCTCCTTTAGATAAAGTGCACGTAAAACTGATGAAAAATGTTCTTAGAAATTTATTTTATATCTTTATTATAAATCATCTAGATAGGCAATTAAATGGGAGGATTTGTGCGCAATCTAGACAACGTGATTTTTGTCTTTGTTTATACAAGTACAAAATAAGAATTTGGACACATAATCACTAAAACAAAAGACTAAACGCACAATAAAACCAAAGGGAAAAAAGACAGAAGATTAGAATGCGTCGTTCGACCTATCTTATCTAGACAGCTTGTAACTTCAACATAGATTACAAAAATTCGCCACAAATATAACACCAAATTCAAAATGGACTAATAGTTTCTAGTATCTACGTCATTTGGTCTCTGGTGGATACTTGTGTTATTGGCAATCATATAACATCTCCTTGGGTGGTTTTTTTTAAAGAACTAGGATTTGAACAACGACAATCAGAAACGAGATTCCTGGCATGAGTAGGCAGATAAATATGTCGCAACTAGAATTGTATTATCATAACCTTTTCCATTTAATCAATTTCATTTAGCCATTTTACGCTGATGTGGCATAAAGCAAACAATCAATCAAATAAAAAAAAATATATCTGAATGAATGAATCAATGAATGAATGAATGAATGAAAGAATGAATTAAGTGCATATTTTATTGCAGAAGCAAACATAATGCTTTAGCAAAATAACATAAAATATAGCACAATAATGACAGTAAACAGAGAACAACAATTATAAAGCATATTATTTAATTAATACCATTAAATTTGGTCGTGATTTTCTAATTCTTATCAATCCATACAAATGCAATTATATTTCTTCTCAAAAGAGATAAGATGTTATAGATAATTTTGATAAATGTATGGTATCCACAAATTACGTTCACGAAAATTAAAAGGGCTTAAGAATCATTTCTCGTTTTTGAGTATTCTGTATTAAACAATTACTATGTCCTAATTGTCATACAAGAATTAGTATAGTTTTAAAAAAGAGACAGTCAGGTAAACACTGGAATAATTCCATTTTGCGATGAGTAAAGCTGTAGTCATGTTTCAAAGGTTAAGTTTTAAGAAGCACAATCCTGAACTTGTGAATAGTTCGTCATAGTTCTATTTCAGTATTTATCGACAGAAGTGAGGAACTAAATGATACATATTGGATAACTTCCTCTTGGTTCGCGTTCAAGTTATTCGATTTTTACGGCTGTGAATTTAGGCACGGGTGCAATTTAGGTACTCCGCCTTACAGAATCTTGGGTTGTTTTATATTCATCTTCAGCATTTTGATTTATATTACAGCCAACATCATTTGCCATGAAGATGGTCCATACAGCAGGATCAAACACAAGAGAACAAACATTGTTGGAGAGAGAAATCCAACTCCTCAGAGATTTAAAGAGATATGATCACAAAAACATTGTGAAATATGTTGATTTCTTCCACTACAAGAACTTTACATGTATTATAATGGAGTATTGCGAACGTGGAACACTGTTTGACTTCATTCGTGAGCAAAAGAATAAAGTAGTACAAGAGGACAAGTTTGTTCATATTCTTACTCAAATAGCTGCTGGTTTGGAAGTAAGTATAAAAAAATCATACTAATGAAATGAATAATCTTTAACATTAAAACAGCAAATAAGGTACAAAAAATCAACGAAATACTTTACCGGAACACTGCATAGTTCTATAAAAGGCAGGTGAACGAACGAATGCACCGACAGACATACACTATAGTCAATGGCTTTCCACTTCTTGTAATTAATATGTTGATAAAATATATTTCTACCTACATTAGCTGGGATGTATACAATGATTGCTTTATCCACTTCTTTGTTCTTTCGTTCGTTCCTACTTTAGAAGAAAATTGGTTTTAATGAACATTCAGGAGAATCTTATTTATCTAACGACATTGTACGCCTTTTATTCCGTCTTGTTTGTGTGTTGGGGTTATTTTTTGTAACAAAGTTTTGACTTTTCAATTTGGAACAAAGAATAAAGAGATATACCTGCAGACCCTACTTGAACACCGATTTGATTTCATTAAGACCTTCAGGGCATCTTTCGTACAGTGCACCTCCCATTCTATTTTTAAAAAATGAAGTTAAATTTCAGTTATCCTATGTCCATGTGCTTGTTCCAAGTCAGGGACCTTATCAGGGGATGTTTTGTTCAGATAATTTAGCACTAACGGCAAATTTTTCATGGTTTTGCTCAACAAATTTTCTATACTCGATGCAATTTAAAACTTGACATATCGTGCAGTCTACTGTTGAAAACATTTAATTTGTTGAACTTTATATGTATTTTGTGGTTATTTTGTATCGTTTACTTACTAATTTATTGATGTAAACCCTACATCTCCCTTTATTCATGCTCTAAACATTTTTTAGTTAAAAAAAAATCGGCAAAACCTACAAAATAACTTTCATAGAAAATTGAATACAGAGGTTTACTTCGTAAGATCATTGAATACAGAGGTTTTCTTCGAAAGATCATTGAATACAGAGGTTTACTTCGATAGATCAAGCAAAATCACTGTTTAAAAGGCACTGATAATCTATGTTGTATTTGTTCAACGTTAAACTTCCAATGCACTTTGTTGTTTCTTAAAACTATGCACAACATAAACACATGTTCTTGGATAGAAAGATGAATGAAATCAGAACACCAACAGAATTTTAGAAACAAAATCAACAGCTGCAGATATTACGAGGGATGTGAAAACATTCTTTCTAAACTATAAAGATAGACGACTTTAGACATCCTATAGTCAAGAAATATTTTAGCAATAAAAAATGACTGCTTCAAATAATCCGAGTTAAGTAAACACTATGAAAATATAAATAAATAGACTGGTTCAGAAGTTCTGAGTAATAGAAACTCTTTGAAAATATGAATAAACAGCTTCAGACATCCCGAGTCAAAGAAACTATTTTAAAAATCCATTTGTATTAAATGGTTTCATGTTGAAACACGTATCACATTTTATTTCTATTTACAGTTTTTGCACGATAAACATGTTCTCCATAGAGATGTAAAAAGTAAAAATATATTGATAAGTGGACACCTTGATATCAAAATTGCAGACTTTGGAGTTGCAAGGTAACAAATGTCATATAATTCACATTGAAATTAAGATTAAAAAGGAATTTACAACATGAATAAAGTATGTTTAGTTTAAACTCCATCACACGGCGTTTAAGTGTAAGGAGCATCAGAGAAGGTTTAAAAAAAAGTCAGTTCACAAAAATCTATTACCTCCATTGGCGGATTCAGGGAGGGCGTACTCCCCCTTTTGATCGGAAAAAAATTTAAAAATCGTGTAAAATCATCTAACATTTTTGTTATTACGCACGGTATTATATTTTTACAATGATGGCCATTTTGTTGGAAGTTAAGTTATATTTCGTCTTTTCAGATGCAAATATATTCATTACGGTAAGCGAAGTGCTCCAGTGCTAAATTTTAGAAAAACATGAAAATTTTAATTAAAATGCCTTCATAACCAGCAGGTAGCACTGAAGAAAATTTTGATGATACGTAAAAAGAATTAAAAATGTTTTTAAAGTATGATGAAAACTCTAATATTCAAAATCTGGAAATGGATAACATTGAGCTTTTGATTCCGTCAGAGTGAAGAAAAAAAATTGGGGAAATCTGCCAAATACCTCTTTTTGTGCAGATTTTCAAGGCAGAACCTACAAAGAAAATATTTCGCCGTGTTTCAAACTATGAATAGACTGATTGATGTTAAAAAATACACCAAATACATTGATTAATACTGTTATAATATAATTATTACTTTTTATCAATACGTCTAATTATCCGAAACCGAAAGATTGAAAGGGCAACACTAAAAAGCTATTTAGGGAATCGATTCCTAACATCACTGAAGAGACATTTATTGTCGAAATCCGGATATAGAGTACCAATTTTTGCACCTTACGTTTGCGGTATACCATCTTTTCCGCAAGTTTATTGTTTTCTGTTTGGCATTAAATTAATAATTAAGATCTATATTGTTACATCTGGTGATCCGTATATTTGGCATTCGACATGGCAGTCAGCAGGGTTTAAGAACATCTGTTGTTCGACTTTCTAGTCAAATGCGTTTTGTTGAAATATACTTTTTTTGGTCTTTTGGAAAATGTTGTTTGTGCTGTATTTCGACCCCTCTACCAAGAAAGTTGTTCTGCATGCACACGTATAAAAATTGCGGTTTTTATCCAACGCAATCATAGGTTTGAACGTTGTTTTCAATTTAGACTTGTATATATATATGTATTAGTTTCTGCAGATAGAAACAATCTCAATAACGCAGTACATTTAGTAAAGGTTAAGACCAACTAATGATTACAATATCCTAGTTGGAAATTTGTGTAGTAAAACAAATATTGCGTTCTTGATATCTAAAACGCTATTTTAAAGCACGCGCAGATGTAACCAAACTTGAAAATTAATGTACAATCTAATTGGCTTACGGAATATCAACATCAAGAAAATGAAAATTAACATAATATGAAAGAAAAAGACACATATGACCCCCCTCATCGATCTTTAGTGGATGCAAAGGTTCTTTTACATGCAATAGTTTTTTTCAGTGACAATCAGAGTTAATGATGTATTAAATTGACACATTTTTAAAAAATGAAACTGAGTAAAAGTAGTTTTGGTTTTTCTTGGTCCCAGGAACCCTAGGGTTAGACAATGCCCAAATCTTGATGGAATTTCATTAATGTGACATTCATATTAAATTTTATAGCTCTTCCTCTAGCATTCATTGCCGTTTTCGTCTGATGGTGATTTATTTTAAATAATTTAGATGATCCATTTTTTTTAATTTGAAACACATATGTGCCACTAGACATTTAAACAAATAATAGTCAACATACATATATACTTCCTGTTTCAAAAGAAATTAATAAATCAATTTATTTCTATAGGGAAATACCTATTGCTGAACCAGGGCAGATGTCTGTTATGATTGGTAGTCCACAGTATATGAGTCCAGAGATGTTGGCCCAGAAACCATACGACCACAAGGTAAAGGTTTTCTTGAAACACAAGAGAGGTGATAATACTTCGAGCTTATCGGGTGATTTGATTTGTAGTATGACTAGTATTATTTGATTTTTAAGGCTTTATTCAATATGTTTTTATCAAGGATGACAACATTTGACCACCATATGAAAAAAAGATATACGCTAAAGATAATGGTAAATGTGTAAAAAAAACAACAATAAACAAACATAATCCTACAGTCTGTCGATACCTATATTTTGGCATTGCACAAGGTCATGTTTTTGTCTGTTTATGACGTCTTTACACTAAATCCATTTGAAGTTGGATGTGTTCGGATTGATGTTTTAGTGTTGAATACATGATTTTTTTATTATTTGTTACAGGCTTTTATTTGAACTAGCTTTCAGTAACTGCAAGTACAATCAGATCTGCACTTTGTATCTTTTGTGTTTTTTTTGTAGTTGTTTTTGTGCATGAGTTAAGCCCTTTTCGACTGATTGTTCTTATGTGGGGAGGTTGGCGCAACAGCAAACATGTTTAACCCCGATTCGTTTTTTGCTATTTATCATAAATTTTTTTCGTTTATTTATTTTTTTTTACATAAATCATGCCGTTAGTTTTCTCGTTAGAATTGTTTTACATTTGTCACATTTAGGGGCCTTTCATAGCTTGCTTTGTGGTATGGGTTTTTGCTCATTGTAAGAGGCCGTACTGTGACCTATAGTTTCTTAAATCTACATCATTCGGTCTCTGGTGGAGAGTTGTTAATCATACCACATCTTCTTATTTTTATATTACGAAAGAAACAAACAAACAAAAAAATGGTTTTGATTTCAGAATTTCAACATAATTTTTACAACATTAAGGATGTAGTTAGGTGAAATTAAAAAAATCTGGAATTTAAAATTGACACTATTAATCAGAAGAGCATTAGTTAAGGAACAAAATAAGCTAAAAATATTGATATGTTATGGAACTCCTTTTCGAGATATTTGATTTAAAAGAAATGGCGAGAAAAGGCTGACTCGGACTTTTACCTTATATTTAGCATTGGCATTATTTGGGTCAGAAAAGTAATCTAGAATCTGCTTAAATTTTTGTAATGAGCTATTGAAGTCTTCTATGAAAAGAAAAGTGGGTGATATGGGGCAAAATATTTTATCCTGTATCGTAGGTAAAAACCCAAGGAGTCCGAACATTTTACAAACAAATCTTAAACCTGAAATGACTACATCCTTAAACTAGTGTCAAGGTCTTAATTTTCCAACATTTAGGAGAAATTGTTGATAAATGAAACATTGACTACCAAAGTTAATATGGCATTTAATCAAAGTTCTTAATGGAGAAAACACCAAAAATTCACACGATAACGATCAAGTTGCAACAATAGTACAACCATACCCTCATGAATGGTCATGGTCAGAAGGTTTACAGAGGCATGATTTGTTCATTATTTAAAAGCAATGTGCATGTAAAGTAGTTTAAAACAGAGGAATTATTTATTTGAAAATACATTCCCTTGCTAAAATTAGTCCAGTAGCACAAGTCTTTAGTTGTTATCTGTTCACTCTTGCAGTTTGTAGTATTGTATAAACTAAATATGTAGCTGATTATTATTGCTATTATTATAGTGTATCTTTGTATGATGATATATTTGTAATGTGACGAATAGATATGTTTAAACTATTATTGCTTTTCAACTTGATTTGCTTTATTCTGATGATTGCCAATTATGTTCTTATCGCTATCTGTCGACATTGGACTTTTTTTTCAATGGGTTAAGACAATAAGGTTTGAGGACCAATTTCTAATACTTTTGGTGTGATGTAATATTTATAGGTACAGTGTTTTACGAGAAATATCTCTTCATTCGAGAAATATATAACATGCAAGAACCATAGGAGAATATTATATATAACATCTTGATGTGAAATTATTTAATAGATCCCCTCATTTGGGAGAAACTTAGTAATAGATTTTACCATTTTATGGTATACGATTAACGTTATAGTAATAACATATTATCATTTCAAGGATTTTAACAAAATACTGTTTATACTATCACAACTTTTAGAGTTTGTTTTATCATTTATTATGGCACTCTCAACGGAGTTGGGGTGACGTATTGTTATTCTACGTTTCTTTTTTTCCTTATTTTTATTCTTCTTCCACACATTTTGTCCGCGCAAGTTCTCAGAATTGAATGGACCAATGGAACTATGCTATAATGTTGACCAGCATGTGAAGTTGTGCACCTGACTTTCGAATGTGCAAGATGGCCACGGTTACCATGGAAACTAAAAAAATGTAAAAAAAAATCAAAATTCTAAATCCTTTATTCTAAGACCCAATCTAATGAAGCTTTATGGAAATGTTACCTGGTATGCCTAGATACACAGACAGTATTTAGAAGTTCCAAAATGGCAGCCATTGTCATGGAAACAGGGCGAAAGTTTAACATTGACCCTATGGGAAAATACATGAAAGCTGCATTCTCTTAAAGAATATCCAATAAAACTTTATGGATATGTAGCATGGCATGTGCCAATGTTGCATCTGTCTTTGGAATTTTGGAAATAGACACTGTTACCATGGAAACAGCAAAAATGTCAAAATCTTCAAAATGCTCAAAACTGTCTGAAAATTTACAGGAATGTAAAGTTGCATGTGTAGATTCACTGTTTGACGTTAGAATTTTCAAAATGGATTCCGTTACTCTGGCAATGGGGGACGAGGGTGCCATCCGTTATTGCTAGCAATTACAAATCTAGTTTGTTTTGTATTTTTAAAATGTTTCCTATTTTCTGTCTTTTGATAACACAAATATAACTTTATATTGCTGTATAATTTACAGACTGATATGTGGAGTTTAGGATGCACCTGTTATGAGATGGGGACAGGAGATTTTGCTTTCAAAGCTGACAGTATCAATAAAATTAAGGAACTAGTTCGCAATAATGAGGTAGGAATATCATACTTTAGGTCCATTTTGATTTAACTTGCTCTTCAAAGTTTGTATTAGTGTTTTGGTTTCAAATGTATTTGCCTCGAGCATCGCTGAAGAGACATTTTGAAATTGTCGAAATGTCCATCTGGTGCAATAAAATTTGAACGTTCATGTTATAAACAATACCATGAATGCCATTTACATGATTTAATTGCGTCAGACGTTGAAGCGCTTTTTGGTTCAATGTGAAATTAAGGAGTTATGGCATGATTGGCAATGAGACATCTATCCACTTAAGACTTAAGGCCAATGAAGTGAACAAGTACAGGTCACTGTACTACCTTCATTGATGAGCAACACGAACGACGTTTATGAAGCTTTAAAGAAGTATTAACAAAAATACCGTACACCAAGGTAAAAAAAGAGGGGAGTCCATAAAACTGACAAAATCAAACGATCGACTATATCAACCAACGGAACGAATGGAACACAACTGTCATATTCCTGACTTTGTATAAGCATTTTCGGAAGAAAATGGTGGGTTAAACCTGGTTTTATAGCTAGCTAAACCTCCTTTTTGTATAACAGTTGATTATAGTTCCGTTATATTGATAAAATTGGGTGAGCAATCTAAACAGACATAATCGGTTAAAATGAAAATAGTTGTGATCCAGCAGACAAAACTTAAAATATATACCACAACTGACTTATCTAAAATCTAAACAAACATACAAATAAATCTGACAAAGACGCAAACAGTTTTGTAGTAGATAGTACAAACAGAATAATAGTAAAACATAATCTTTTCCGATAAAGTACAAATTAACTAATACATAAATACAAGGCTAAACAAACTGAAAACAACACTATAAAAACCTCATGCGTCCATATCGCACTTTTAGACCAACCTGTATCAGGAACGGCCAAATCCCTAAATCCGAAAGCTAGATGCGCAAATACCAAGCCACGTCTACGGCCAATAATGAAAAAAATTGAAACATTTGAAATTAACAAGAATTGAGCTGTAAAAATGACATCATACCGGGTTTACTGTGAAGTGAAAGTACAGTTAAGCGGTTTTAAAGTTATTGCAACGAAACGACATAAAATTGCATTTACTTATCAAGCAAGGACCATAACTCTTGAAATACAAAATTGAAAATCGGCAATTTCGAACTTGACCTCCATTTTGTGTTCTGTAGCAACATATCAAAATTTGAAACACACCGGTTCATAACTAAAGTCAAAGCATGGAAACAACTTGAGACGCTCGTTCACCCTCCCTCTCACCGGTAAAAAAAACTACAGGCATGTCATATACTTAAAACAATTATGACAGACAATATCCAACAAGAACCACTGGAATACAGGCTGTCCTATAATGGAGAACGTGACTGGGTTAAGCATGTTTTTGAGCACTCAACCCTACTCATTAGTGTCTGTTAAATTAATTCGATACTTTTCTAGACTAGGTGTCGCTTAAGAGATTGTCATGTTGTATGAATACCTGTGTTTATTCCAAAGCGGACAGGATATTGACCTCTTGATATCTTTTGGTTTTTGTGTGGTTGGGTTGCTGTCTCATCCACGTATACTCAACACCTCCATTTATTCATACATAAAACTAATGTACATCTAAACAGTCATATCAAATGTGAGATGAGTTTGTATGATGGCAAGTATTTATTGGATAGTACAACAATATCGTCAGGGTAGAAACTGATAATGCATTTACCTGTTGCTATGATACTGTCTGTTGTACACTTTTTGTTGCCTTTAGTTACACTTCAATATATATTTTTTTTTATTTCCTAACAGTTACCCCCAATGAAAAAGGCTGACTATTGTCAAAATGTGAAAAAGCTGATAATGTGGATGCTCCAAACTGAGTCCGTTAACAGACCAACTGCCAAACAAGTTCTAGAAAATATACAAACACATAGATGTAAAACCATTGATTCGCAGACGACAATTGATATTGCCAAAGCTGTAGCTGTAGCAACCGGTAAGCTTAAAAGGCATACGTATATGTTCATGTTTATCTTTTTTCAACAATGTTAAATATATTTCTTGATATCCTGATTTGCCAAACAAATAAAATAATAATAAGAGAAAAATATGAGAAATGTGTATGTCCTGAAATAAAGAAATACAACAAATTACGTCCAAGAACAAGCGTTGGCAAACCAGAATTACCAAGCCTCGATTTTCTTAACATTGAAAACAGAGTTAAACAATTACGATTGGGACATGTACACAAAATCTACAACGGCAAATGCCCAGAATATCTGAAAGAAATTTTAGTAAAGTCAATAAACACCATAGATACAACACAAGATCTAGCCATTTAAACTTTGTTGTTCCAAAAATCAAAGGGATAGATTCCTCATCTTTCCCTTTTAATGCAACCTAAGACTGGAACGCGCTTCCTAGTTTTTTAAAGCCAATTAAAGACCATGGCGTTTTTAAAGCCAAGTTAAGATTATATCTTAGAAATAGTCGAAGTGTGAATTAATTAATATCTAAATAACATCTTAATGAAAAAAATAAGGTACATTTGTGCCATTTTGCTCGTTGTTAACAAGCGATATATAAAGGGCCCCATTGGAAACAAGTGGAAACGCTTTTATGGGCAATCCTTGGAAGAATAACAATTTATAAGTATATTTAAAAGGCTTGTTCGTATAATTGTAGCTCATATTTTTATGTTTCATATTTTTAACCACACTTGAAATATTTGATACCATTCCTAAACGAATTTTACCTTTTACCGTTATACTTTTTTTTCAAATTGACATTTTATCTTTCTTTTAAAAGATTAAAATAATTAAACAGTTTATAATATTTTCTTATCTGAAGTTCTTTTTAAATACAAGTTAGTTTATATTTGTTCATTTCGATCCAAAATAATTGCCGTCTTCATGCCGATATTTGTCCCCGCGCTATAGCTCGTGGAAAAACAGTTTGCACAAAGCGCCAACCCGTGTTAAAATCAATAAAAACTCAAGCCCAAATGAATTATTTTTTAATTAGGTCGCATTATCCATATTATGAATAGTCAATTTTAAGTTAAAACAAATACTTACTTTCACAGTTTCTCCGACGAATAGAATAAGAGAAATAACACCTCGAAAGACTAGCGTTAGTGGTAAGTAGAAAAAACAGTAGGACAACTATGAAAAGCATCATCAATTTATATTTATTTTCCTTAAAAGTGGATTGAGTGGATTGGGTGTAAAAAATATGAGATAGTGGCTATTTCAGGTAGGAGTTTGAAAGCGTAGTATCACGTGACATTATTCTGATAATTTGACTATTCATTCTCAGACGAGTTAAGCAAATGGAATGACTTTAACAAACTGCCGCTTAAAATATTTGATCGATTTTATTTGACCCCCCCCCCCCCCCCCCCCCCCCCCACCTCCTGGCTATAAACGTATGGTCATGTGACTTTACCCAAATAGTGATATTTCAAAGACGACGTGTTATTGATCCGAGCCATGCCTAAACTTACTGAAGTAATCACGTGCGTAACTGTTGTATGTTAAATGTTATCGAAACGGAATACTGCCTTGGAACAAACTGATTGTGAGGCTTGCCTTCTTAGTGTAAATTTGAAATATTATGGAATATCCGTTTCACAGATGATAGCGGATATGTTCCTAATGTCGTAACTACAATCCCGTCCCCCCTTTTTACGAATGTGACCTACCGAATTAGACTTGTTACCCGGTTTGTACTAACATGAGCAACACGACTTGTTACCCGGTTTGTACTAACATGAGCAACACGACGTGTTACTCGGTTTGTACTAACATGAGCAACACGACGGGTGCCACATGTGAAGCAGGATCTGCTTACCCTTCCGGAGATCACCCCCAGTTTATGGTAGGGTTCGTGTTGCTCAGTCTTAAGTTTTCTATGTTGCGTTATGTGTACTATTGTTTGTCTGTTTTTCTTTTTCTTTTTTAGTCATGGCGTTGTCAGTTTATTTTCGACTTATGAGTTTGAATGTCCCTCTGGTATCTTTCGCCTCTCTTTTGAAATAATAAAATTGTCTATGGTCATATGTGATAATACGTACGTATTTTTTAATTCATTTGATTAGTTCAAATATGTGAAGTATACCTAAATAGAATAATTCATAACATTGTCATTTTTAATTTCAATTTAATTTGATTCAAAATTGATGACCTGAAACTGTGTTAATTTCTTGTTAATTTCCGGATTTAAATGCTTTTTAAATTCGTATTTGATTTGGTCTTCCCACTGTTTTGTTTCGGGGTCGACTAATTAGTCGAGAGTCGCGTCTAGCTAACTTACCAATGTCTGGTATCTTCCATGAATTGTTTTTTTTTTATACTATCGGACTTCTGTAAATACAATTTTTGTTTCAGACCCTCCTGATAGTGGCATGTCTAGTGGGACAAGAACAATAGAAAACACATGTAAGTTTACCTATAGATGTACAATGTGTTTGCTTGATAATGTATTAAAGCATGTAGATACTCCTTTCATCTTATAATAAAAATGCTCGCACATTCATGAAGGACTCCCGTGTCTTGCCCGCGTGCTGCTATCAGTGTAAAAGTGCCATTGCCAAATACTGAAGCAATTCATAGTTTCATAAAATACAGAAAAAATTACAATTACAAATCTAAATTTTATTCACAGTGTTCTTTCTTGATTATAGAAGCTTCTGTTTAAGTTTTGTAACATTCCATATACTGTACATATGCCCAAGTTATTCAAGCTTTCATATATTGAACAACAGACCGTAGTATAATGTTGACTGCAGAAAACATTGAGAAATAACTCCATAAATTAGCAAGATACCATGATTTCGGAGAGTGAAAACAAATTACCCCAAGACTTGATGGCATATAAGAAAAGCTTCTGACAAAGTTTCCTGAAATTCAATTATGGTATGAAAAGGGTAATTGATGCTTTAAAAACTTTAATCCTAGATTGTTTCTAAATGATAACCTAAAAATAAGTCCATTTTTCAGTAAAATACGAAAAAAATCAAACAAGTCATGTATTTCAAATTGGTTTCCTAGAATGCTATTTATTGATCACGAATAAGGTCTTGATTACGTTTTGAATAAATCCAAACAATCTATCCATCAGTAAAATACGGAAAAAGGAGAAATAAATGTATTTTCAAAATTTTTCTATAAGATGTTATGTCTTTAAAAAGCTTATGTCGAGTTTCATCAAATTTCTACGAAGTTATTGATGTCTAAAAACAATTTCCTTATTTCCAAACTCAATGTAACTGCTAAAACTGTATTCTATATATATCAGTAAAATACTACAAAATTATAATAACTATTTCCGAATGTTTGCTTTGGATGATTAGTGACTTTCATCGAATGCACGCTAGCCAAAGTGAGAGTCGATGCTTTTGGTACGATCTGTAACTAGAAGTTAAAAAAAGCATTCCACAAAACACAATAAAAATCGTTAAGATAGAGCAAAAACATTCGCACAAAAACAGAAAACTAAGGTGCCCAGGAAGAGAGAATGTTATAATCTTATTTTTTATATAAAGCATGGTAATATTAAAGCATACTTATGTAAAAAGTAAATGTAATGGAAAATGAACATCCAACTTTATTTAGTTGTAACTGCTGTTGTCATATCTGCTCATTTTGTTCTGGATGATCATCTATAAATATATAATTTATAGTACCAGGAGGACTTAGTTCAACATTAGGATCAACAATGGCTTCCATAAGTCAAAGTATTGATTTCCAGAAACAGTCTTGCCGATATCAAGTGTACGTATATTTTAATTATTTTTTTCCAAAAAGTATAAAAGTATTAAACACGCTGAAGGAAATATTGCTTGAAATGTAATGATTAGTGAACGATATCATTTGTGGGATTATATTTTTAAATAAGTGAACGTCTTTGTAAATATGCAAGGTATCACATACAGTTATGATTTTTTTAAATTGACAATAATTTCAAACTTGTAATATACGAAGATGTGCTATGATTAACAAACGAGACCACTTATCATCAAAAACCATTAGACAAAGATGTGAACAAGTTCTTGATTTCCAATAATCTTTTGTTATATTTATTTTTATTCAAGCATATATGAATAAACATTTAGAATATAGTATATATCTATGTGTAATTTTTTTTACAATCTAATGCTTTCAGAGACCTGGTTCGTTTAATTGGAGATAACACAGCTAGTAAAAAAGTTTCTAAAATCATGAAAGTTCTTCGTAGACATCCACAGAATTATGATAAAATAAAGGTAATGAACATAGTTGATATACGTATTCAACATTGTAAAGATAATTTTACTCCTAACAACAACCATAATAGCCCAACTTCCCGTTTCAAACATAAGCTAAAAGAACTCGCCAGGGAATATATTTTTGTCCCGGCTGATAAGGCTGCTAACAATATCATTATTGTTTGACATAAATTTTACATTGATGTTCTACAAAAGGAAATCACGAATTCACCAACATTCCAACTGACTCCATTTTCGGAAAATGACATCTGTAACAAACATAAACTTTTAGCTACCGCTTTACAAGCAGAACCAAATACAATGAAAGTTCCAACTATGTACTGGCTTCCGAAGCTGCACAAAACTCCTTACAAATATAGATTTATTTCGTCTTCAGGCCATTGTTCCACTACTAAACTATCTATTCTACTTACTAGTACACTTGGTACAATCAAAAACCTGGTAATAAATTGTTCAAATAAGGCCTTTGAAAATAGTGGAATTAATTACTTTTGGAGTGTCAAAAATTCGTTGGAAGTACTTGATAAATTGCATGCTTATATTGGTGATTTCGAATCTGTTCAAAATTTTGATTTTTCTACCCTACATACCACGTTGCCTCATAATCTTATTAAGAAAAAATTCACACAACTGATTAAATGGGCATTTAAAAAGTCGGAATGCGAATGTATATGTTCAAACTCTTTGAGGTCATTTTTAGTAACAACAAACAAAAGAACTATGTCAATTGGACCTGCTTTGATACTATAACTGCCCTTGAATTTTTACTAGATAACATTTTTGTTCGCTATGGAGATTCCGTATATCGTCAGGTTATCGGAATTCCCATGGGGACTAACTGTGCACCACTTATTGCGGACCTGTTTCTGTATTGTTACAATTTATGACTAAAATCAGCAAAGACCCATCGAAACAACATCTGATTCAAAAAATTAATAACACTTTTAGATATTTAGATGATATATTGGCTCTAAATAATGATGACTTCAGTATGTACACTAAAGAGATTTATCCTGCCGAACTGACTTTAAAGCTAATACTAACAATGAACACTGCCCTTTCCTGGATCTTGCTATCTTTATCTTTAACGGGAAGTTTGATACCAAAATTTATGATAAAAGAGATGATTTTTCATTTCTTATTGTTAATTATCCATTTTTAGATGGTGACGTTCCCTTGTCGCCATCTTATGGTGTTTATATATCTCAACTTGTTCGATTCGCTCGTGTATGTAACAATGTATTTGATTTAAACGAAAGAAATCTCTGTATTACTGAAAAAATATTACACCAGGGTTTTCGATATCACAAACTAGTCAAAACATTCACTAAATTTTATCATCGGTACAAGGACATCATTCGTAAATATAAATTAACATGCAGACATCTTATACGTTCAGGTATTTCACATCCAATCTTTTATGGTAATATTCTTTACAAAACACAAAAATGTCGGCATTCACCTCAAAAGCTAACCAAACCTTTAAACAGACTTATTCGTAAGGGATATAGTTACGATACTGTTGTCAAGTCATTAAGGATTGCATATTTTGGTATTAATATTGATTCACTCATAGGGTCTTTGCATCGGAAATACACACATTTATTCTAAAACCAGTTGTTGGCATGATACGGGTTATGTTCTTCTCATATATTTTATGATGGTATGATACTTAACCCATAACGGGAGGGATTGTACTTGATTTTCATATGATAAAGACATAATCTATCAATCAGTTTAATTGAGGTCTGGAGCTGGCATGGCAGTAACTGCTAGTAGTCCTTTGTTCATTTATGTATCATTGTCATTTTCTTAGTTTCTTTTGTTACCTATTCTGACATCGGACTCGGACTTCTTTTAAACTGAGTTTTACTGTGCGTATTGCTATGTGTTTCTTTATTCTACATTGGCTAGAGGTATATGGGAGGGTTGAGATCTCACAAAACATGTTTAACCCCACCGCATTTTTGCGCCTGTCCCAAGTCAGGAGCCTCTGGCCTTTGTTAGTCTTGTATGTTTTTTAATTTTAGTTCATTTATATGTTTTGGAGTTTAGTGTGACGTCCATTTTCACTGAACTAGTACACAATTTTATTTAGGGGCCGGCTGAGGACCACCTCCAGGTGCGGGATTTTCTCGCTGCGTCACTTTGACATATTCCCCATTTCCATTCTCAATTTTATTAGTTTTTTATTTTGTGTTTGAGGAGAATATTTTGTAATTTCAAGTTCTAGAATGCTATACTTACAATATTTACACTACCCTTCAATTAAAATCAATACAATTGTTAATATTTCTTATTTTTTAATTAACGATATGCTAATGTAAACAATAAAAGTAGTTCAAATGTTCCTAAAAGGGAAAGGGACATGTCAATATATAAAAGTTTAACAAGGTAAATTTGATGTCAGTAGGTTTTATTTTTAAGCAAATCATTAATAGCTTTAACTATGCGTTCTGTTCTAAGCTTATTGCTTTTGTAACTGTCTTGTTTGTAGCTCTCGAGATTTATTTCACTCTTGATTAACACGCAGTCCTTACATTTACATGGGCGTTTTTTTTTAAATTTTTTTTTTTTTAATTTTACACCGATTCCAATTTCAATGCACGAATCTTCAGCTGTTTAAATTACAGGTACAATTTCAGTGTTAAACACAGATTTATTTAGCAAATCTGCCATCTTGTGAACACGTTACGAGTCGAATGTCAATTAATTTGGTCTTTAAAAATAAAATGAACTCATTATGTTTCATATTCATCTCATATACATAGTGCACTTTTACTCATATAAAAACCATCGCCATTACGTTAAATGATTCTTATAATTTCAATAAACTCCGGTTCAAATCGGGTCAAACTAAAGACTTGAAAGTTGGTATTTGCTGCTTCTCTATAAAAAAACGGGATTAAGAAAATCCAGATAAATTCATGATATTCCAGGTCTTTCATTTCCAATCAGGATTTACATGATAGAATGTAACTACAAACAATGCAGCTATTGAATCAAGGGTTCTTATGGTAAACACATTTTGGACTGGCTCAGATTCCAGGAATTCCCGTTTAAGTTCATTATTATATCGATTTGCACCAATATTTTACTCACAGGTAAATGGTTATATAGGTCCTCGTGTATTTAGGTATTTATGGGTTTTGCTCATTATGGAAGACCGAACGGTGACCTATAGCTCTTAACTTCTATGTCATTTGGTCTCTGGTGGAGAGTTGTCTCATTGGCAATTATACACATCTTCTTATTTTTATGTTAAGAAACTAATGTTCAAACTCTCTCAGACACAGTTTACCGTTGATTAATTTGGCTATTCCTCTTAGATTCCCTTTGGTCATATAGCTCCTCATGGTTCAGCTGTTCTTGAGGAAGAATAATTCAGAAAATAATTTCGGGCGCTTTTAATTGATGAAGTGTTATTTTCATTTAAAACTGTAAATAAGAAGCTGCCAATGGAAACACTAAAATCGTCACATTTGTCTTGATTCTAATTTAAACTCTCGTCTATCTCTGTTAATATCACCAAAGCAATTCAGATATGAAGCATACCTCGAAATGTCGGTGCTATCCCTAATTGAAATACACGCACCCACAAAAATGTAGATTATTGAGACAGGGGCATCTTCAGTACTTCTGACAATGCATTTATTTATAAATTGGTTACAATATTATGTGGTTTTTATTTTTGTTTTTGAGGCTTATCTTTTTATCAAATATTTGATAAATGTTTATTCAATAGTTCTTTCTTATCAGTATTCTCCATTAGTTTAATCCCAACTAAACAAAAACTTCTCCTTTGAATATTGTATCAGTTCGAACCAAACTTCAGGCTGTGAGCGTTCCTGATGAAGGTAAATCAAGAAAAGCGATTCGGACGCATGAAATATGTTTGAAAGTCCATTTTTTAATGATTTCTAGTAATTCATTATTCCACATTCAATTGTTGTTTTAGGAAACAGTTAAGAAATATGTACGGGAAGATAGGTTTGATAAAACCTATTCTATAGTGATGGCATTGAAAGGTACAGAGGAAGCCATAGCAGCACAGACACAACGAGGCTCTTCTGATGATAGGGCGTCAGCTGCAGAGAGATCTAACAACAGATAAGAAGAGTCGTTTGACTCTCTTTACAAAGTCATGTATTTGATACAGTGCATAGTTAACGACATAGTTCTGTTGTATTTTCAGCATGATAAGTATGAAATATCTGTGGGTGTGATTTAATTTGATATCATTTATGTTGTTAACCCGTTTTGCATAACGTTAAAGCGTTAATCCTGAGCGAGCTTCCGGTGAAATCAGCATCATATATATTTTTACAACCATTCGTAAACAGTCATTACAGCCAATCAACAGTATGGTATATGCAAAAAACTAATACAGCATATCTTTGATATTGGAGTACGAAAAGGATCTTTTGCATTTATATATAAACGTGGTGGATGAATGTTATCGTATGATAGTTCTATTATAATATCAATAGAATTGCAACCGGTTTATTGAAACTGAGTGTATGAATCAGGTGGACTCGATTTGAAAGTATCGTCAAGAACGTTAACCATTCGTCATTTTGTTCGGTATTTATCCTAAAATAGTCTTTTGTAGATTTTTGAAACAACTTATTTCTTATATTTCAACAGTGGACTAATTCTGCTTTTATTGACTTTGATTAATACTGATAAATATGGTATCGTTAGCTATGGCGATGTTTGATTTAAAGAATTGTCATGGTGCCTGACAAAATCTAAAATTGGTGTTATAGTTGTTTTAAATAAAATGAGTGATTAAAGAAACAGATGGGTCAGTCGGTATACATGAAATTATATAGATTATTACATAAATAACTGATGCTCGTTTGAAGAAGAGAATTTAGAAAAAAAAATATTTATATCAACAACCAGGTGACAAGATTTAAATATAAACCATCGATTTACATTTTCACTTCTAGTTATTTTCTTTTATGATAAATGCTTTTATTAAAATAATTTTATATATCTGTAGTGTTTAGTCAAGTTGAATAAAAAAACCAAATCGAAACATGTAAGATTTCGAAAAAAAACTTGTATTTCTATTTAAAACTGTATGTGCTATAAGTCAGAACATTGATTTACAAGTAGATATTGAAGATGCAATATTTTAAACTTCAAAATCACAAGTATGAAGACTTATGCCTTGAATGACATACATTCATTTTTATTTAGTGCAGAATCAATGTACGTGTGGTGTCAAGTTAGAATATATAACAGTTTTTGTGCGATAAAAATTCGTTTTAATATATGGAATATCCGTTTCACAGATGGATGACAACGGATATGTCCTAATTGTCGTAGTTACAATCCCGTTCCCTTATACCCGAATGTGACCTTCCGAATTAGACTTTATCACCGGTTTGTACCAGTATGAGCAACACGTCGGGTGCCACATGTGGAGCAGAATCTGCTTACCCTCCCGGAGCACCTGAGATCCCCCCAGTTTTTGATGGGGTTCGTGTTGCTCAGTCTTTAGTTTTCTATGTTGTGTTTTGTGGACTGTTATTTGTCTTTTTCGTTTTTACTCATGGCGTTGTCAGTTTATTTTCGACTTTCTTTTATTAAACATATTTAAAGATCAAGTTGAATTGAATACCAAAAATTTTTACATAAAACTTTCTTTCTGAGTTTATCAAATTCGAGCATGTTATTCCAACATCGCTTGTGTTTAGAGAATATAACCCAAGGATAATAGTTGGGAAACCCAAGAAGGATGATTGTATTCCCTCCTATACACTTCTAGGAATACCATTGGTTAAAAGCGAAGACGTGGGAACCTTGTAAATCTATTATTAAGTCAGTGACCTATTTTATTTTTAATACACGGTTAGTAGTAGAGTTACTTTTCTTTTAAAATAAAAAAAACCGATGTTGTTCTCAAATTACCATACATTGTAAACATAATAGTTATATTTGTTCATGCTTTTAGACAAAAAAAAAACATGTCTTAGAAACGCTTACTTTCTCACCATGAATAATTGAATGTTCTGTTTAATGATGTTTTAAAATTGTGCTATTAAAATTACAGCTACGTCTAATTTTCGCATATTAAGATATTCGGTAAAATAAATTCGTTACACAGTGTTATTATGACCTAATACGACATATACATGGTTAGTAAATTCCATATGGGAAACGAGCTTCGCTTGCTCCCGCCCCATATGGAATTTACTGACTAGCGCACTGTGTAACTAATAATACATAGACGATCTCTATCACGAATTGGTTGACCTATATATATGATATGTCTCCACCTAAATTCGTGACATGAAACGCTTACCCTGTCGACGCACCAGGTCTAGCTCCTTTTTGGACTTCATGCCATATCCTGTTTCTGTTTGTTGCCTTGATGTGTCTCTTCATAACCAATTTACTCAATTTGAATATATCGGTAAACTACTGTCGCATTTATTTACTAATACAACAAGTTCGAGATTCAAATATATCAGACAGTATTCGTTTATGAATTTAACAACCAAATGCTTTAGATCATGTAATTGCAAATAAATTTAGGCAGTCAGACTTTATATCATTTTTTTCTGTGTGTGAATTATAGATGCGAAGACGGGGTATGAGATAACAACACAATTATGAAGAGTTAATTGCTTGTTATGTTGACGCAGTTCATGTGATTTTTTTTAATAAAAAAGTATAACTTAAATACCGAACTCCAATGTTATTTCAAAAAGGGAAAATCCATAAAAACTGACAAATTCAAACGATATCAAACAACGGAACAAATGAAAGACAACTATCATATTGTGTTACTGAGTTGGTACAAGAAAATGGTGAGTTAAAACTGGTTTTATAGCTAGCTGAACCTCCAATTTTAGATACATCTTTTTATCGTAATTCTTAGTTACATCTGAACACAACGGGTAAATGAAAATAACGCTTTTAAATGTCATGTGTCCAAAGCGCTTTACCTTCACCAGGAACGCTCAGATGTAAATATTTGAAAGCTAGAACGGACAAAACGTATAGTTTCGTGCGTCATAAGCACTTCTACGGATTTATCTTGACCAGGAACACTCAAACATAAACACTTGAAAGCCATGGATATTAAAAGATGTGGAAACATTAAATGACCAAAATGGACCTAAACGGAATAGCCTATCATCTTTGAAATATGTTTTATAGTTTCCTGTCAAAAATGTTGTTTTAGATGAAATTCGTGAAAACATGTAATATTGTAAAAATGGATCATCTAAAACAACTTCTGTACTAAAAGAGGACATTGGTTTGAGGACGGACATTGAACTGTCAAATAAAGATCTTAATGGTCCCCCTTGAATTTGTATGGCTTCGTGTTTAAGCAGTGTCTTGTTTGTTTTCTTTTTTTCTATGGGTCCCGGAATATTCTTTTGTGAATCTTCAACTTATGGTTTGTGCCCCCACCCCTTTCACCCGTGGGATCATCCCTTTTTTCACTTTTAGTAGTTTTTAGACTCAAACTTATCTTTTATGATTTGAAAATTGAGTTCAAGAAATATAATGATAATTAGTTATCAAAGGTACCAGGATTATAATTTAATACGTTTCGTCTACATAAGACTCATCAGTGACGCTCAGATCAAAATAGTTATAAAGCCAAACAAGTACAAAGTTGAAGAGCATAGAGGACCCAAAATTTCAAAAAGTTGTGCCAAATAAGGCTAAGGTAATCTATTCCTGGGATAAGAAAATCCTTAGTTTTTCGAAAAATTCAAAGTTTTGTAACAGGAAATTTATTTAAATGACCATATAATTAATATTCATGTCAACACCGAAGTGCTGACTACTGGCCTGGTGATACCCTCGGGAACGAAACGTCCACCAGCAGTGGCATCGACCCAGTGGTGTAAATAGTAATCAAAAGTACCAGGATTATAATTTAATACGCCAGACGGGCGTTTCGTCTACATAAGACTCATCAGTGACGCTCAGATCAAAATAGTTATAAAGCCAAACAAGTACAAAGTTGAAGAGCATTGAGGACCCAAAATTCCAAAAAGTTGTGCCAAATAAGGCTAAGGTAATCTATTCCTGGGATAAGAAAATCCTTAGTTTTTCAAAAAATTGAAAGTTTTGTATCAGGAAATTTATAAAAATGACCATATAATTGATATTATTGTCAACACCGAAGTGCTGACTACTGGGCTGGTGATACCCTCGGGGACGAAACGTCCACCAGCAGTGGCAACGACCCAGTGGTGTAAATAGTTATCAAAGGTACCAGGATTATAATTTAATACGCCAGACGGGCGTTTCGTCTACATAAGACTCAGTGACGCTCAGATCAAAATAGTTATAAAGCCAAACAAATACAAAGTTGAAGAGCATTGAGGACCCAAAATTCCAAAAAGTTGTGCCAAATAAGGCTAAGATAATCTATTCCTGGGATAAGAAAATCCTTAGTTTTTCGAAATATTCAATTTTGTAACAGGAAATTTATAAAAATGACCATATAATTGATATTCATGTCAACACCGAAGTGCTGACTACTGGGCTTGTAAATTTCTAATAATTGTAGATTTGATTATATTGTATTTGGCATCGATTTTTGTACCCTGCTAGCAATGTTCAACGGGAGTATTTAGTGGATCAGTCTCTGTCCAATCGCTATTTCAACCATCAGTTATATAATAGATCTGCAATTCGCAATTTCTCGGGAAATATTAACTAGGTTTAAGTCAGACTAATTGGTTTAGGTAAATAGAGATGAAGGGAATACACATAATGAGAGAGCAATAGCACACATGTTCAGAAACCGCAAAAGATCAACATATGGTTGTCAAAAATACCGACATTATTCTTCATGACGCTCGCTTGTCAAGGTTTCAGTAGTTAAATTGTGAAACTTGTATTTGATTTCTGCAGTTAAGGAGCTTATTAAGGGCAGGGGTATAACCCATAGATCCTTAAGTATTGAAGTATAATTGAAGACTTGACTCACAAGACTTATGTTTCTTCACTGTTTTTGTGGAATAGGGATACGATTATCCACTGCCATCCGATGAGGCATTTTATTTGATTCGTGAAATAGCACAAACAACCCGATTGTAAAACATCAAAATCAAGTCAGCAAATTAGTTGAGTATATTTGTCGCTAAAGAGATGTATAGTATTGCTCTAATCGTAAAAGGCGTCTAGCTATATTTTCTATTAATTTGTCAATAACTTTGATTGATATGTTTTCATTACATTTTTTTTTGTACATTGTTTTGTATTTTTTAGGGTTTCATGAAATACAAACCCGACATAAGGTTTTTGTGAATATCGAATGGGCAGGCGGAGAAAGAAAGTAACTTATTTTCTGTAATCAACTTTAAAATCTTAAATCTAAATCCGATGCATTATTAAAAAGCAGAATTTTAAAAGGAAAAAAACAAAACCGGTCGTCAAAAATATCATAATTACTCTACACTACTGTGAACTACTATACAGTTCATTTTAACAAAATACAAAAGGAACACACGACCCTAACAATGAAAGGAACATAAGTTTTAGAATATCCTGGTCACATTTGAAACATAATCGTTAGTTTGTTAGATAGTTAAGTAAAAGGCTTATTACTTTTTTGAAACATGATCAGAATATCTTTAAAAAAAGTTTAATCATAAGTGCTCTTGCGAGTTTATGCAATCATTATATTACACATTTTTATTCATTATATCGACAGTTATCACACATGCTGTAAATGATTGAAACCGTGGCCTGTATATCATCTCAACTGTATCATTAAGTATCATCAAATAACATTTACAAAATGTATATAGTTAGTGACTTCAGTGGTCCATGTATGTGTACTTTAAAGTTGGTAAATATAATTTCAACGTAAAAGGTAAGAAAGATTTTTATTTACTACATGGCGTTTTTCAACGTTGTTAAGTTTTGTATTTATTATACTAATCATCATGATGCTCCCGCCAATGATTTCGGATGGTAGGCAGTCTTCATTATGTTCACGTGTCCTTTAGTTCAATTGCATGATAAGCAAGTCCTCTATTGAATGGATTTCAGTAAAAAATAATCAGTTTTTATTATAAAGAGTGTAGTTGTGCATGGCGTATTTTGAAACATTATTTGTGTATGTCTCTGTCCTGTATGTTCTCCCATTTATTTGTATTGTAGTCCTGTCATGTAATCTTGTCATGTCCTGTACCAAGTCAGGAAAATGGCCATTGTTATATTATAGTTCGTTTCTGTGTGTGTTGCATTTTAGTGTTGAGTTTCTGTTGTGTCGTTGGTTTCCTCTTATATTTGATGTGTTTCCCTCAGTTTTAGTTTGTAACCCGGATTTGATTTTTTGTCGATCGATTTATGAATTTCGAATAACGGTATACTACTGTTGCCTTTATTGGTTACATGAACTTCTAATGCTTTAACTAACATTTATCTGTAGGATTTCCCTAAAAGTAAAAATATAAATGATAGCTCGTTTTGTGTTATCTTCTCGTTTAAGGAATTTGTCGGGTTGCACGGATTGTGTTGATCTGTGAATATAGAAATAGAAAATAGTTCACATAGTTAGTTTTGTGGTAGTTTGATGTGTTCAAGCAGCTAGTATAGTTCTTAATATTATATTCTCTTTTGTTAACACACTTGTTCTGTTTAAATTCATTTGAATGGTCTGGTATTGTCCTTAAATTTTGTGATTTTGGATTAAATTTGCTACAGTTTCATTTTTATTTTTTTTATATTTAGCTCCTCACATATTCCGGTATTTCCTTCATGCCTATCTTTTTGTTCATTTCGGCGTTCCTAATGAGAGTAAATTCAAGAAAACGCTTTGAAAGCACCACATTTATGAAGTGTTATTTTCATTTCCACATTGATTAGTTTCCGATCGGTTGAAATCGAGGCAAACAGGGGCCATATGTTGAAGAAAAATAGACAAAACACATCAAACTTGACCCCATTTTGCGTCATTTATATGGTAAGGGGGCAAACGAGCAGACGTCTTGATGAAAATTGTTTCAGAGTAACGTTTTATTGACGGCATTCTCAGATATATTTTAAGAATGTAAAGTAGTATATGCACACTTTATTCAGCGTTTTTTTGGAAAGGGGTAGAATATCAAGCAAGTATTGTTTTTATTGCATCTATGGTTCATTACAATTATTGACTTTGTCAACAGTGATGCAATTTTAATTAATCCATGTCATGAACTTACCACGAAATAAACAGATCATGTATGCCTGTAACTTCGTGTTTGATTTATTTCTTCTCTCATTTTATATATTGATAGCAATATTGATAGCAATTAAATTCAGACGGCAGGTATGATGTTACATCCTGCAGCAGGGACCAACAACATTTGTCTTGTTACTGATTCATACAAGGTAAAAATGTGTAAAAAAAAGTATAACAAAAATTGCGAACTCCAAGGTAAATTCAAAAAGGGAAAGTCCATAAAAACTGACAAAATCAAACGTTTTCAAACAACAAAACGAGAATTTGTAGATGAAGATTAAAATGTGAACAGCGACATAGCACGCTCATGAAGACGAGATGTTTTGTGCAATATAATTATGTAACATTGTTGTTTTACCAGCTACCAAGTTATCTCCGAATATCAAATGTCCGCTACCACCAAATCTGATTATTTATAAGAATGAATACATAATCAGAGCGTGAAACGTTGATTTTATTTGGATATGTATGTGAGCTTTTCATCTATATGTGTCATGTCATAGTAAAGAACGATAAAAACCACACACAGTGCTTAAACTTCAGAAACACCAATAAATTGTTAAATACACTCTAGTGCACTGAATAACATTTGAAATATCAGATCATGGTTATGTTTCCCCTTGTTTTAATGTGATTATCCCTTTTCCCTATCCAACACTTTAAAATGAGGTTTATATCTGCGAGTTAGTGGACTGCAGTCGTCATTTCAACTATATGTTATGGGGGTTTTCTTAACTTCCAACGTCTAACCACTGTAAACAATATCTTACATCTTTAAAATTAGCCTAATGAACCAACCTATCATACTGATTACTGTGAAAAAAACAGCCCAACAATAAAAAAAAATCATGCACCATTTACAATAAATTTCACTTTTTCCCGAGACACAGATAAAGGTTTTGATGTGTCTGATATTTAATGTCATATAGTTTATTCATTATGTCCCTCAAGAAATTTTGAAACAGATAGAATGTCTGACAGCATCAACAAGTATAACAAATATACCGAACTCAATGGCAAATTCAAAAAAAAATCATAAAAACTGACAAAATCAAACGCTATCAATCAACGGAACAAGTGAAAAACAACTTCCAGACGGGAATATATTAATGTGATGTGAATATGAACCCTGGTTTGGCTTGACCTACATGCTAGGCTTGAGTATATATGTGATTGTTCATATGATAATATTGAAGGAAGACATGTCAGCCTACACGGGGACATTATTCTAACTCAAACCCTGGAAACAAATATTATCATTGTAGATTTTTCATGATCAGTAAAAAGGAAATACAATAATCAAATAAGTGGCATTTTCTAATATGCTTCAAATAAACAGTGATTCCTTTCCACGAAAAAAGAAATGACAACAGATTGTTTGTAAAACAACCTTCGTATTGGACCTGCATTTCAATTGACAGAGAACTTACAGGGCAAAAGTATGTGTCCTTGACTATTTTTTCATGCTTTAATTGATTTGGTTATATCTAAGATAATGGGATATACATCCATGCCATCTGAAATGGATAACTAATTTTCTATATTTTCTCAACTTTTAGGTTCAAAATCAAATAAAAAGTTAATTTTGTTTAGTATTATTGATAATGTAAAGGTATGACATTCTTCAATTTGGAGGCGTAAAAATCAGGTGAACCAGAACAGTTATGTAACAGCAGATGTCACCTAAATTTATAATGTAAATTGTAGCCGGTATATCTGCATATATAGCTTTCATTCAAGACATTTAAAAATGGTATAAATGAGTTATGTCTATCAAATGAATACATTAAAAAAATAATGGTCTATCTATATTAACAAAAATACATTTCAGATATTTAGTTTAATCTTCTAATTAGAGATTTTATAAAATCCCTAGCAATATTTTCAATGATTTTTTCAAAATTCCTAACAATTTTTTACAAAATTACTCAAACTGTTAAGGATTTTACAAAATCAATAATTATTTCAGGGATTTTACAAAATTCCTTATTTTATAAAATCTTTGATTTTACAAATTCACTGTAACATATGCACACGAGTCGATATATTGATGAAAAACTACAATATCACCAATATATCGGTGGAACAGCACACTGGTTAAAATGCAAGTGCTCGTTCGATCTGAAAGAATTTATTCATTAATATGTAATTGATTAACACTACTGTCATATATGATTGTTTAACACTACTATAATATACAATTATTTAGCACTACTAATGATGTACCATATAAGTACGTATCATTGCCCTGTATCCAGGAAATAAAGGGTAGAGATAATCCAGTCAACAAAGGCCTGTTTTTATATATCTACGAATATTTGATATTTTATAGGTTACACACTATCGTCAGTACCCTCCGAATACTACACTAGTATATTCGTACTTTGAGAGCAGAGGTGGGAAATATCCAACAACAACATTCTTTGGTCTGCAATATTTGTTAAAACGTTTCCTAACAGGTCAGGTCGTAACAAAAGAGAAAATAGAAGAAGCTAAGGATATATGTAACAGTCATTTTGGTCTCGATATATTTAATGAAGAAGGATGGAATTATATTTTAGAGGTATAACTTTCCATACAGATAAAACATGTAAAACTATATGTATAATGTTTATCCATATTCACACATCATTTCAGGTCAGTTATTTAATAAATATTTTGTTATGCCTCGATATATTGTTTTTGTATTGTTGAAATGTGATTTCGATTGCATGCACTAATGTTATATTGTAATATCAGTGATAAATTAGTTTCGTCTTCTTATTGCTCACACAATTGCTATGGTATTGTTCTTTTTAATTTAGTTAGAATGCTACAGTTCTAAGTAAGTCTGGTTACTATTTCAGAAACATAATGGTTATCTCCCTTTGTTAATAAAAGCTGTGCCAGAAGGACTAAATATACAAACCAAAAATGTGTTGTTTACTGTGGAAAATACAGATCCAAATTGTTTTTGGTTAACTAATTATTTTGAGGTAATATTATTGATAATGTAATAGGCAAAAAGCAATCATTTCAATCAACAGTCCAGACGCAGTCGTGTTAAAGCTAAATAACAAATCTATTACGACATTGAATTAATCGCTAACTTTTAAAAAATCGTTATATTATTTGCCTGGAGATAGAAATTGGATAAAGTACATATATATTTTTATTTCACCTGCCCTGAAGAAATTGTGAATATAACTTTTGCAGAATAACTCTTTAAGTGTCTACCTAGAAACAATTTCCATTTCCGATGTTACTAAAAACAAAAAAGATAACCCGATAAAAAAAAGCAAGAAATGATATAAAAGTAAAGTTAAATGTACTTTTTATTTCAATAGAAAAAAAATATGAAACGATTCTTTTTGACAAACTAGATGAATATTCTGATATATCATGTAAAGAAAAACTGCAACACAAATTTTCGCTTTATATATTACGGGTTATCAAAAATAATACTTGATTCGCCGGTGCCGTGATAATATCTTTATATCTTGTTTGTGGGATCGCGTCCCTACGGTCGGTCACAGACTATTTAGTTTGCATTTGCTGCCTAGTCGTTAAGTTATTGGATTTAAAATGATATATCCAGCTGATATAGAGCAACAACTGGTCGGCTCGAATTTATAATGATGTATCCAGCTGCGGTGAAATGATTTACTGTTGACTGTTAACTTATGAAATAGCACTGTCAAAATCTACCATAATATGTGCTAGTAAAAAAAAATGGGTTTTATATTCTTACAACGTAAACAAGTTTCGTCTTTAACATCGTTAAAACATTCCAAACTGGTGTACAATTTCCACCAACCACTACTGTATCAAATATGGCTCCCTTCTATAGCCAAAAAAAGAAAAACTTTTCTAATGAGATTATTACTACAAAATTTTAAAATAAATTAATTTAATACTCCCTCCTTACAGCGTCTACATGTTTAGGGATAATCTGTAAAAGTGGACGAGAAACAAAACAAAGATTTCAGTTCTGTCACTAAAATACAACAATAAGTAAAACAAATTAAGTGTGACATATTTACCTGTCATATCTTTAATATACATAATGAATAAAGGCAATAGTAGTATACCGCTGTTCAATAGTCATTGGTAACTGAAACAAATCCGGGTCACAAACCAAAACTGAGGGGAACACATCAACTATAAGAGGAAACAAACCGGAACAATTGAAACACTTAACTGCTACAAAAACAAACGCCAACATACATAAAAACGGACTATGTGATAATGAAAATCGAATTTATGAAAGCACCTATTAAGAAAACAATAACACAGCATTAAATTGGATATTTTCAATGCTTGCATAAAGCTGAGGACTAAATACATTTTAAAAATGTGAAACTTTTTCCAGTCATACTTAGTTCAAGCATGGTATCCCATGACCGTAGCAACAAGTTCTCTATATCAAAAAGATCTGATTACTAAATACATGAGAGAAACCGCTGATAACCTAGATGGCTTACCATTTAAATTATCGGACTTCGGCTTCAGAGGATCATCCTCATTCGAGGTAAGAAAACGTTTCTATAAAAATATTGTGAAATTTTACCGGTTTCCTTATGTTTTGTACGTGTTTTCTGTGGATAAATCTGAAATTTAAAACATTCAAAATACTGTAATAAGATCTTAGGAACAATGTTTTTATCGATACTAACTTTGATTTTGTTATTAATAAATAAAAACATAACTAAATATGTATTCCTGTACGGTTATGGACGCTTACTGTTATGCAGTCTGTAGATACTCATATTTTCGCATTGCATAAGGTCATGTTTTGCTCAGAATTTAATGGCGTCTTTACACTAAATCTTTTGAATGTGTCATATTGGTATTCAGTCTGTGGACATGATTTATTCATTAGTTGTAATTGACTTAAATCTAGCTTTTAGTAGATGCAAGAACTCTTAGATCGGTACGATGTGTCTTTAGTAATGTTTTGGTTGTTTTATGTGCTTTGTGGCATCAACAATCCTTTTTCAACTGGTTTTAACAGTCTGATATTTTGTTGTGTTGTTATCCCATTGCCAAGTTTAGAGGGTTGAGTGCTCGTAAACGTGTTTAATCCCCGCCATATTCAGTGTTTGCCAGGCATTGTTTTCATTTTTTTTTTCGTTTATTGATTTGTACATACATCAAGCCTTTTTATTTTATCGTTTGGATTGATTTATATTTTGGCATACCGGGGCCTTTTATAACGTAATTTATGGTATTCTTGTATGGTTGTTACTCATTGTTGATGGGCGTACGATGATCTACAGTTGCTGTTATCTACGTCATTTTGTCTCTTGTGGATTGGTGTCTCATTCGCAATGACACAACATCGCCTTATTTTTATATTGAAATATAGTAGGTTGTGTCAGAAGGAATGGAATTTATATATGACAAATGAACATAATACGATAGTGATTTCCGTACCAAAACATGTGTTTTTTAAATTGATTGATTGCTTAACGTTTAGGTAAAACACAAACTAAATAGCAATACATTCAAAAAGCAGATCCTACAAATTTGGATGACCGGAAAAGAGAACGAGTCATTAAGACTGCCACTTTAAAACGAAGGTATTTTGACTTGCTTTAGAAATTTAGCTGTACAAGAGGCCACTTTTCGATCCTAAATAAGTTGATGTGTAGGTAATAACAGGCAGTAAAGGTGGCACTATCCCTATACTAGCCTTTGTTTTTAACGTCCAAATATAAGATTTAGTACATGTTTAGTCAAGTTTCTTTAATTTGTGAACTAGAAATTAAAATGTATCATGTTATTTATGTCAGTTCAAAAGCACTGGGTTTTTTTGCATATGAGAGTCTTGATGACTTGAGGTTTGTCTGTACCAGTACCGAATAAGTTTAGAAAGACATGTGATAACGATCTCCGAGCGCACAGCTTTCATCAGATATAAGCGAGACTAGAAATTCAAAAGCCGAAAATTTAGTCTTTGAACAGTATTATAAAAGAAAAAGCCATGCTTCGTCATTATATGTATATATGATGATATATAATTTACGATGTATGATATACTATATAACTCTATGAAACTAATCTTAAATCTTTTTATAGGAAAGTTTTTGTCAGCTTTTGGATATGTGGTACATGGTTTAATTTACAATTTACCTGATTAATCGTAATTTACTAGAATAACTTAAATGGCGGAAATTATTAGTGATTTATTTTCTGCAGACAGCTGGTATTGGAGGCTGTGCACATTTGGTGCATTTCCTAGGGTCTGATACACTTTGTGCTTTGATGACAGCAAGAATCTACTATGGGTGTGACATGGCGGGGTTTTCTGTACCTGCTGCAGAGCACAGGTATGTAAATCCATTTTACTTAAATAATACAAAATGATGGTATGAATATTACAACGACTGAGATATCATTTGTGTTGTTGGGTTGTTGCTTAGTTGACGTGTATATAATTTGTAAATTGATATCAACATCCACCAGTTTATAATAATATTTCTGTTCTACTGATGTGCTCTAATGACGTTCTTGCATAAGCTGAACCTTTTAACTCAGCTTTTTTATATTTCATTTCTCAGCTTTCGTAACATATTACAAATGACAAGATTAAACTGGTTTAATAAGTTGATTATTTTTTGTGTAAATATTTATGAAGAGGTAGTACGTGAACGATAAAAAAAAGCGTAAATCATTAACATCCTGATATGTTAATTAAGAAAGTAGTACCCCAAAGCAACTTTGCAATATTTTTTACTACAACACAGAGTTGCAATCTACATGCAGTATATTAACGGTAGCATTTTTTTTAATTTAAAAATTGTTCGACCAGGGTTACTAAGCTCACTATTAACGATAATACAAGATGCTTTACGTAAAAGAATTCACACAATAATGCAAAGGTAGGAATGTTTTTTTTTTTTCTTTCTTTGTTTTCTTTTTTACCTATGCTTGAACAGCTCATAAAGCCAAACAAATTTTCTCACAAAACAAAACAAAACACAATAGTTTACATGTAGTTTTACGTCAATCATTGAATGTGTTGGTAAACTGCGATACCAGTTGATTTGTTGTAATATACTTTAATATCTCCACGTATGTTTGTTCAGTACAATAACAACATGGGGAAAAGATGGCGAAACAGATGCGTTTAGGAATATGTTAAAACAATTCCCAGAAGGGATAGTATCGTGTGTTGGTGACAGTTATGATATGTGGAGAGTTTGTGACAAAGTTTGGGGACAGGAACTAAAAGATCTAGTAGAAGCAAGAGAGGGGAAGGGACATTAGTGGTTCGTCCTGATAGTGGTTATCCTCCAGATGTTGTTGTAAAGGTAATCCAAGCATTGTAAACATAATAACAATGAAGAGTTAGAATAACAAAAAAACGTTGCTAGAGGAGAATCAAACACAATAAATGAAGGGAATTTTTATAAATTACAATGTTAATCTACTGAGTTATACTCAACAATTGGAATTTAACAAATGGTTTATAGAAATTGAAACAAACTTTGTCTGCTAATTGGATCGACCCATTGTTCTGTCCCCCAAGTAGTGTCCACGATTTAACAGGATTTATTAAACACGCATCACAGCCTTCTGGAGGGAAGTAAATGGTTTGTCCGTGTTATGAACGTACCAAGCTGCTGCACGAAAAAGACACATATGTCATCATTCACGAAGAGTAGGCTCATTTGAGACCGTTAGAGCTCAGTTTTCCCTCCCTCCTTCATTTTCAATATACTCCCTGTGGAAATCAGATTTCGTTCTCCATATAAAAATAAGGAGATGCAGTATGATAACCAATGAGAACTATCCACAAAAATTTAAATGAAGTAAATAAAAGCAATTATAGGCATCCGTACGGACTTCAACAATGAGAAAAACCCATACAGTATAGTCTGCTACAAAAGGCTCCGAAAGGAAAATATGAAATTTAATTGAGAAAACTAACGGCATAATTTATAACAAAACAATTTACGAGAAACAAATATGATAGACATGAACCAACGACAACCACTAAACTACAGGCTCCTGACTTCGGACAGGCACATACAGAATGTGACGGGGTTAAACATGTCGTGAGAGCTCAACCTTCCCCTAACCTTGGACAGTGGTGTTACAGCACAACCTAAGAACAAACTATAAAAATCAATCGAAAAGGGCTTAACTCATCAGATCGATACAGAGCAGAAAAAAAAACACAGACCGGACGTGGCAGGATATTTATACATCTCTAACAACAAAAAAGACACAAAGTACTGAATTGAGAGTACGTGCGGTTACTAACAGCTAGTTGAAAGCCAATAACAACTAATAAAAAAATCATGTATCTAAGACTAAAATATCAATTAGTACATATCTTACATCCAATGGATTTAGTGTATAACGTTATTTACAGTAAGAGAAAAACATGACCTTGTATATCCTATTCCATCAACTTGAACCGCCATCCCCTAATAATTTATTTTCCTTTTATCATATTTTGTTATCAACCCGAAAGTACCAAAGGTTGTAGAAGTGGCCCATGTTTTCCGACTGAAAGGTGCGACCACTACAATGGTCGTCCATTGTGGATATTTTGGTTGTGCGGAATGCATAAATACGTACACATGTCAAATGAGATCGGAATTTGACTCTTAATCCGATGCATTGTGTAAGGAAGTTGCAATACTCATTGCATTATGAATGACAGTTTCTTTAAAAAGTCGTAGTCTGTCTTTTAAAGGCAATCTATTTTTCTCACAAACCCTCGTTTGCAGCGGCTGTCTCAATTTCCAATCTTTCCTTCCGTAAGCAGAACGTACTTATTTAGTATTATATATGCCAAATTAATTAAAAGCTAACCATAATCAAACAACCGTTTTATATCATCTATTTACTATTTAATGTGTTACGATATAGCCTTTGTCTGCTGCATCAATCAATTATGACTTCTTTCAGGTGTTGGATATTTTAGGGAAATATTACAATACAACAATAAATACAAAGGGATTCAAACTATTACCTCCATATTTAAGAGTCATTCAAGCAGATGGGGTCAGCTATGAAACATTAGGTGCAGTTTTAGAAAACATGAAGAAAAATAGATGGAGCGCAGACAACGTAGTGTTTGGGAGTGGTGGTGCTCTCTTGCAACAAGTAGACAGGGATACTCAGAAATGTGCTTTCAAATGTAGTTTTGCTGTTGTAAATGGAGAAGAGGTAAGCCAATGGTTAATAAAAACTCATGTTCAATCGAATATATATAATTTTCTTGATGTATTTCTTTTGTACATTATATTCACAATCGTTGTTTCTTTGACAATTTTACCATATCTTTTGTTTTTATTACGTGTCAAACGTTCCTACTATTCAGGATTTTTTTTATAATTGTTAAGTTTTGTTATTATAAATTTACATTTTTATTCTTGTTATTGGCGTGGGGAAATAGTGTTGCCCATGTCTTTCCATTCGTCTTTTGACATCTAACAGTTGTCTGGGTTTATTTCGTTATGGCTTCAATGAATTTGTCTTTCGGTACATTTGTGAAATATGATAACGTACAGATTAAATTAGAATTTTATTTCGTTGGACTACCTTTTGTTGGAATTAATACCCTGCGAGTTAAAATTTTAATAATAATTTACTTGTCTTGACTTTGGTGGTAATTTTTGTTGATTTGGAACTGATTTTTTCTCACATTAATGTACAATGGCGACACACAGATCAAGTTTAAGTTTTACGAAGATGGATTAGATGTTTCGAATAATTTATAATTTCAGTGGACGTCTTTGGTTGCTGTCTACCATATTTGATTTTCGTTTACTGTTTTAAGAATATCTCTTTTGAATTTTTTCGCATTTTGTCATCCAGGGACCATTTATAGTTTACTTTACGGCATTGCTTTTTCGCATTCTTAAAGGCCGTACGCTGACATAAATTAGAGTTCATTATGGCAGGTAGTTGTCTAATTGGCAATCAAACCATATCTACTTATTTTTATATATCTAGTTTTTATGTCACTGAGCATAAAAGGCCATGTGAGCTTTTGCAATCACATGATATTGGCGTCCGTCGTCGTCCTTTGTCGGTCGTTAACTTTTACAAAGATATTCTCCGAAACAACTTGAAGTAAAAAAGTATAACAAAAATACTGAACTCCAAAGGAAGCCCATAAAAACGTACAAAATCAAACGCTATCAATCAACGGAACATGTGAAAAACAACTGCCATATTCATATAAACATACACCATAGACATACAATACAGCTGACTAAAAAAATCAAACAAAAATGCATATCAATATAACAAAGACGCCAACAAAAAAGGTGTAGTAAATAGTAATAACTCATCATGGATGGCAAGACCAAAATTGAGTTCACCAGACAGGATATTGTTTAATTGTGTTTAACGAAAAATTGTCTAGATAGTAAATGATCGTTAGAGTATCTAGTATACAGTCTGTGTTTTTATTCCTGTCAGTCAACAAACATATCTGACTTGTTTCTTTATTTGTATGAGCAAACTGTGTCTTCTGAAGAAGAGAGAAAAGAATTTACAATCACCGTTAAATAACATATTAAAAGGATAACGTGAATTAACAGTAAACCATACCGTAAAGTCGCGAATTAATCGACTCGTCGAAAAATGAAAAACAAATACAAACAACAGCAAACAACAATGGGCTATTTAGCCTGATTTGGTACAGACACATAATGTGATGAGGGTTAAACTAGTTTTACGTGCACAGTAAGGCCATCCTTGCTATCTTTACAATTTTTCTTAAAACATAATTAAACAATATCCTGTTCAGTTAAGCTGCCAAGAGAATGACCTTTAACTTGACTAAGAAATATAACGCTTGGTAGGGTAATACAGATAACTTCCACTCAGTAAATAGTTTAAAGTTTGATGACTATTATGATCGCAGTGATCAAATTTAACTTGAAATAAAAAATACAACATATACAGTTCAGTCTGCTTCATATCTGGACTTTGACAAATACGGCCGGTGACCCAACTTAACGACAAAAGAGATGCTTTCCATTTTCCTAATGCAATCTTCCAATTTCTATGTAGAGACATATGAGACGCACCTGCATATGGAGTTTATAATTCCTAGATGATAAGTTGTTATAGGGGTTGTGTTTTCTATCATGATTTCTAACATAGAAGAAGTAGCATTCTCAATTGTGAAGTTGAAGTCATTTTTAGAAAGTTTTATTTTCCTTAACGGACGCCATTATCGCATGATAAACTTGTTAGAGATGGCCATGGAAATGTTCCACATTTCGCAAATTTTTTTCTTTTTTCCACGATTTTGATATCAACAAATGCGACTAATCGGTAGATGGTTACTTGCCATGAGCGACACGATGTGTCCCTCTATTGGAGGACTACTTAATATTCTGTAGCGGATTGTTTCAGCTCTACATTTCATGGGTTTGTGTTGCTTCTGTTTTAGTTTTGTGTGTTGTATTTGTGCTATTTTATTTCCATGTTTGTGAGGTTTTCTATCACTGAAGGACTTGCATGCCTGAGTATAGAGAATATGTTGGCATTTCAAACTTACATACTCGATTATCTTTTACGATTTAAAATCTACATATACATTTTGCAATGACAATAGACACATACAGATCCGTTATTGTGAGAAACCGGATATGTTTCGTCAACGGATTTCAAACGGGTGACACGACGGTTGTCAACGGTGAATCAGAAATTACAAACCAGAGTACCATAGTTTTTTTTTATCGATGATGATAAGTGAACTCTTTGTTTTTTAGCCGTGAAGTTTCAACTTTTTTTAGATTGATGATTTTTTTTTATTTCCCCTTAGTATCTATAAACAATGAAGAGAAATAAAGCAGAGCAAACTCATATATATAAACATAATGTGTTGTTGTCTCATAAACGTTTACAAAACATTGTATAATAAAACTATATGTAAGCAATATTCAAGTAACATGATTTTGGGAGCAAGAATATTAAATTTAAGATATTTTTAAAGCAAATAAATTTCTACTTTTGAACAGTTGATTGATAACTTTTCATCAAAATTAATTTACTTCTTTTATGACATCTGATACTGATTTTCGATTTTTTATAATGGATTACTTCCCTTTGAACTGATTAAGATGTTCTTTTCTATCATAGAGAAATGTTTTCAAAAATCCAGTTGATGATACTGGTAAAACGAGTAAAAAGGGTCGTCTTACTCTTAAATATGAAAATGGAAAATATAAAACAATAGAAGAAGGTAAAGGCGACATTAGCAAGGTAATTATGATAAATATTTAAATGGAAGTATTTGTAGACAGCTGTTGAACGCTCTCAAACATGTTTAACCCCGCCACATTATTTATGTGCCTGTCCGAAGCCTGTAGTTCAGTGAATGTCGTTGGTTCTTGTGTGTCATATTTGTTTTTGTTATAAATTAGGCCGTAATTTTTCTTATTTGAATTTTTTTCACATTTTTCATGTGGAAGGCTTTTATAGCCAACTATACAGTACGGGTTTTTCTCATTGTTTAAGGCCGTGCGGTTGTCTATAATAGCTTATATCCACTTCATTTGAACAAAGGAGGATAATTGTCTCATTGGCAATCATACCACTTCTCCTATTTTTATGTTAATATGCTGAGTTATTCGATCAATTTTGTGTTCACTTATGCATCTTAAAATCAGCTTACCGTGATAATTATTGTAAGTCAACCAAGTTGTCATCAACAAAAAAAAACCAGTAAAACAAATTTAACAGATTTTTGTTTTCTTCTTGTATATGTTTGATTACATGATACTAAACCCCTAACGAGAGGGATTGTGCTTAGTTTTCATATGATGAAGACATGATCTCTCGATCAGTTTAATTGAAGACTGGAGCTGGCATGTCAGTAACTGCTAGTAGTCCTTTGCTAATTTATGTTTATCATTGTCATTTTGCCTGGTTTCTTTGGTTACCTATTGTAACATCGGACTATGACTTTTTTAAACTGAGTTTTACTGTGTGTATTGCTGTGTAATTGTTTATTTCGACGTGTTGAAGACCCATTGGTGGCCTTGGACTGTTTTCTACTCTTTGGTCGGGTTGTCTCTTTGACGCAGTCCCCGTTTCCGTTCTCTATTCTATCATCAAAACCATCAGTTTGCATTGACATTATTTTAAATTTTGCCATACAAATATGTCACTTTTATGATATGTTGTATTTCAGGACATTCTTGTTCCAGTTTTTAAAAATGGTGTTATTTTGAAAGATTACACTTTAGACGAAATCCGGAAGAATGCTGTGCTATAACTTAGTCCTCCTGGATAGATTGTTTATGATATATTTTGTTTGTCTTTACATTATTTACTTTAGAAAATGAAATGCTTTGCGTATATTTCTTCTAATTTAAATGTACGTCTTTGTTTTTGATAAATATTTAACAGATTAACGCTTAATTAAGGCAACAGAAGTATACTGCTGTTCAAAAGTCATAAATCGATTAAGAGAAAACAAATCCGGGTTGGAAACTAAAACCGAGGGAAACACATCAACTATAAGAGGAAAACATCGGAACTGCAACAAAAACAAACGCCAACATACACAGAAACGGATTATCTGATAACAACTGCCATATTCCTGACTTGATACAGGACATTTGAAGAAAAAATGGTGGGTTGAACCTGGTTTTATGGCTAGCCAAACCTCCCGCTTATATGGCAATGTTAAAAAATATCGCTAAAATGACAACACTACGTGACAGGAATACAGTGCAAACAAACTCAAGAACACTCAGCACAGAGACATGCATAAATAAATAATATAATAGTACATTACAACATGTAAACCGCAGAATAACAACGGACATCTCCCATTAACGACAGCACAGGACACCACAAACTGCACGTCACATGTCGCTAAAAATGTTTAGTAAAATTGTTCTAGAAAATTGTACGAATAAAGGAAGAGAAGTCCACACTAAATGCTTCTTTTTCAATCATTCTATTTTTTATGACAAGGCAATCGCAAAAATAAACCTAGAGTGGTTTATGCATTGTATGCGCGTTTCTGCATTAAATCTTGTGCAAAATTGTTGAAAATAGAAAGGCAAATTTCTTAGGTTGACTTAACTGTAGTAGTTTTAGTTGGTAAAATAATTTATAAACTGAAACTTTACAGTCAAAATGTAATATTATCATAACCGAAGTATTTATTCAAGCATCAGTTTTTCATATATTATAAATCAAGTGGGAAGACAAATCAAGGAAACAAACAAAAACTTGGGGAATCGCAAAATGAACTACAAAATGGGCTATGTCCAGGTGGTAAGTACGCCGATCACGAAAAAATATTTTATTATAGAACATGATTTACACATTTTTGTATGCTGATGATACAACTCTCCATACCCATGTTATAGATATGTAAAAATATAGAAAGAAAACTAAACCACGATGCGCCAACCCTATCAATACTTGGGGTCTAAATAACAAAATTAAAATGAATCCTCTAAAAACAATTCCACGGGTGCCACATGTGGAGCAGGATCTGCTTAACCTTCCGGAACACTTGAGATCACCACAGTTTTTGGTGGGGTTCGTGTTACTCAGTCTTTTCTATGTTGTGTTTTGTGTAATGTTGTTTATCTGGTGGTCTGTTTCTTTTTAAGCCTTGGCGTTGTCAGTTTATTTTCGACTTATGAGTTTGAATGTCCTTTTGGTATCTTTTGCCTTTTTCTTATATGCTCATTGGGACTAATAAAAACGAGCTTTGGTATGCCAATAATTAAATATATTAATACAAGATTCTGATTCTGGTTTAAAAATCTCAAAAGTAAAACGCGTAATTACTAAAGGAGTCTGTTGTACAATTATGAACCTTCATAGAAGAAATTTAAGAAGTTATGCAATCAATAATCTTGCTGTTGTGTGGCCTAACACAAATAAGTTGAAAACAAAATCACATATTGCTTCTCAATACTTTCGAATAAACTTCTAAATAAAATACAAATATCTGATAAGTTTTAAAATTGAAATAAATAGATTTTTAACGGTAAATTAATTGTAACCACTCTCTCGGTGTCCTTTCATATTTATGTATTATTTAATTTTGTATTCCTGTCCGTTCAACTGTTGATTCGAGCGCCAATGATAAGTCTTGTGTAGACGACATTAAATGCCTGGCATCATTGACATTGACATATTTCTGCCAACAATCGTTTAGCTTGCATGTAGTATCATGTGTTAAAAAATTGTAATCTTTGTAATACTTACTCTGTTTGTTTTTGTGAGCGCATCAAATTAGATTAGTGAATGATAATTGAGTCACCCTCTTTAGATAAAGTTATTGGTATTGTCATATGCAATATTATAATGCAATATGCGATAATGTTGGTATTGTTTTGCTCATATAAACAATGTATTGTCAAAATTGATCGTGATTTTGTTCAGAATATTTGGGGCTCAATGAGTGCAGTACATTCAAAATAATCGATGAAATAAGAACATTACTGAATACTGTACATAAAAATAAGAATAAAAGATTGGGAAGACCCATGTTCATGAGATCTCTATATCAGATAGCTATAATATAATCAAATTAATATATTTTTTCTCGTTTTCTTCCTTTTTTTTTTTGGCCATCCAAAACATTCTGTAATTGAAGTTTGAAGTTTACTTTGAACAAACACCACAACAATTGTAATTACAAATAAACAGACATACATACAATTGGTCAATTTAACCATGTATTAAACATTTAATATCACCTACTATAAAATTTATTTCAAAGTTTGCATGTCCAAAATGAACTGTTTAGTTAACAGTATATATTGATTGATTGATCGGTTGGTGTTTAACGCCACTTTCGGCAAATATTGGCTATTTCGTGGCAGTAAGTTTTTATTGGTGGAGGAAGCCGGAATACCATGAGGAACCACCAACCTTCGGTAGGAAAATTGACAATCCTAGTCAATCAAGATTGAAGTCGAATGCACCTGCCACGTGCGGGGGTCGAACTAACAACCTCAGTTTTGACAGGCTAGTGAAACAGTATTTGAACTACTTAGACCACTCGGCCTCCGACGCCCCCTAGTCAGTATTTAGCAAATCATCAATTTAATTCACTAGTAAATATATTTTAGTCTTAAACGGTTATTCTGATCATAACATCATCTGAAAAGTTTGAACACAAAAACGTTAAGCCTAGTTAAGAGCTTAAGTCATTTTTTATAAATTTTCTGAAAATGAAATCATGTACTGTGCAGAAGCTTCCAGACAATTCAGGATGTTTTTTTTATACAGGTAAATAACAACTACTGAACAGTCTGAACATAGACTGAATACGTCTTAATTGACTGCAAGGTAAATGTCTGACCAGTACTTAATCTACCGCAGTGAATAAAGCTGAAAATGAACTAAACGATTGAACATGACTTGATAATGTATTGTTCAGTCTTTAAAGAGCTGCTTAGATCACAATTACCGTTTCAGTTCAAAATCGATTTAATAGTGAATATTTTATCACGGCTAACTTTCAATTTTTATACTTGGCTTTCAGTTGAAAAAGGACACATTATAAACACCTAGATGTTAATTGTTTTCAATTTCGGAAAATTCTAATTCATTCCTCTCAAATGAAATGGATCAATAGGCAAACTGTTCAAATACTGTTTCAAGACAATGTACTTCTTTTTTTATTTTATGATTTATAGTCTATAAAAAATCAAACTTATAACAAATAACTCTTACTGTAAAAAATATTAGAGTTTTGATTAAATCAATTTTGTTAAACTGGTTCATTTACATAGACTGCGAAATTTGACAAGACAATTCAAAAGAACATTCTGGAAATTATGGATAAAAGGAGAGATGGGTATATGACATTGCTAGTTGCTTTGACGTGTTTATTGATGTTAGGTTTTATTTAACCATTAGATGAAGATGATGTCATATTAACTCTCGTGACAACAGATAGCGATACTTGATCATTAAGCTGTTGTATTACTTCTTTGTCGCCAATTTTAAAAATTTTATGGACCTCTGTTTTAAATTTTTCATTTGAAAAATAATAAATAAAGAAATTAATCGATGGATGAAAATGGGCAAAAACTGTGATGCAAAGATGAACTTCGTGGGAAAATGTATCATTCACATCGGCTACAAGCAATATGGCGAAAGGTATCCAACAGATTGAAAATACAGCATACACAATAAATATTGTTTTTGCTAGGCGCAGGGATTTAGTGTCAATGATTGGTGCGTTTGCTCTACTTGTTACTTGTTTTCTCTTATGTCGGACAAATAAAAACAGTTTGAAGTAAGAAATTCCTACAACGATCAAGGGAATCCAAACAAGACAAACTGAAAATACCACGGTGTAACTATATGTTGCCATTCTGTCCCAAATACATTCCAAACTTTTGTCATCAAAACCATGTCCGCCAATTCCAGCGTAATTAAGTAGAACCATGATCATTCCAACGATATACAGTGATAGGCACATTATAATACAGGATCGCCGACTAAATATTTTCTCGTAATATGAGTTGTGACAGATTAATATATATCTGTTGAAACTGAGAAATGTGATGGACCCCAGAGACACAATACATGAAATGGTACACATTTTCCCAATTATGTCGCACAGAATTGGATACTGCATGAAGAATAACCGACCTTCAACTTTACCTGTAAAAAAGAATAAATAAGTGATATGTTTATTTACTTATACGAAAACAAACGTAGGTATTTGTTTTTACAATTAACATTTGCAATGAATCGGTATTGGCCTTGTGGTGATCACTGTTACATTTTTTATTCTTTAATAGACGAAAGCAGAGCGTCTGGCGTACAAAAATATAATCCTGGTATCTTAGAAGATTTCTATTTCCTGCATTAAAAACACTTTTTATTTTGTCTCTTCTCCTTAAAGGTGCATATTCTTTTATTACATGTACGAAGAATGATAGTTTTTGTTAACATCTTCATCTTTATGAACATCTAAACTGAGCCACTGAATACGACTGTTGATCATAGATCTATTATAAATATTTGTAGGTTTGCCATATGTTATGTATCATGTCACAACTGAACCAATCAAGTTTTGATAATCACTAAAACCATTTGACAAAGTTGTATGATAACACATTTTTGGTTATTTATTAATATAACAACAAAAGATGGTTTTCTGTTTCTAACAAACAGATTAGATTTTTTATCAAATTAAAGCAATGATACATGTGACACAGTTGACTGTTGCTACGTTCAAACATATCAAAATTTAAATCCCATAGAATTATATATAATTATCATTTTGACATACAACGTTTTCCAACGATTTGGATAATGTATCTATAAATTTATTTTCATTTAAAGAAGTAGGTCTATAAATTCTCAGTAAACACCATTTATTTTTGTTACATATAATTTCACAATAATTTTTTTCTAGTTCCTCCCTTTCAAGCTCTTTCCTACGTCTTGGTGGTAATTTTGTATTCATGTTACAAAAATTTCCTCCCATTTTACTATTTCTGTCATTTTTCTGAAGTTTATAACATTCTATATTTAACAAAGATTGTTATCAAAAGACACACCAAGCTTGGTTTCTGAGATGTATATTAAGTTAACAATTTTATCAGGCAACGGAGGTTTTATTTCATCGGATGTGTTTCGAGTACTATTTATATTTAAATAGCATATCATTAATTTCGTCGGATGGTTTTTCTTATTTTTCCTTAAAGCATTTAAAATGTCATATTCGTTCTCGTCAATGGACAAAGGGACGTCACTCAAATTTACAGATCATGTTACCTAGTCAAATTATCAAAACCTTTATGATAAAAGCATTTACTATGATTAAAAATCTAAGACTACTATCATTTACTGACAGCGTGTTCTAAGCCAATGAAAACTAATAAATAAATCATGTTCTCCGTGACTAAAACATCAATCAGAACACATTCAACTGTTTTTTTCTTTTTTTTATATATATATATCAAAATATTAAACCTATATTTTTAAAAAGTAAAATCCTAGTTCCAATATATTGTTATTCGAAACAAACTTGACACCTTGAAAATGATGTATGTTTTAGACATAATACTGTGAATACAATTTTCATTCAATCTCGAACGATTACCGTTACAATTCAAAGCAATGTTGCAGGTCGAGTCCTTCGTTATTATATATAGGACGTAATGTAAACTTGAAAACATAACTACAGAATAAAAATTTAACAAAAAATGAAAGCTTAATATAATGCGATTATTTTTTCTGGCAAGCATGCTAGCCAATCATCAATGTACCCCCGTTATCTAAGCCTACATATACATTTGCTTCTCTTGTCCTGAATATTTATATTTAGTATTTCCCAGGAACGTTACGAAAACTAATTCAGTAAATTGTTAAGAATTCCTGATGTTGTCTTTATGAACAAACAAGAATATTTATCAGTAATCCTTTTTTATTGGCATTTTTGTTATAGTTATCTTGATTGTATTCATATTTCTCAAAATATTTGATAACGTATCTAGATGTATTGAGAGTGGTATTCATAATTCAATACTGTTAAGTATAGCAACTCTGACAAAAAAAAAGGAATGCGATGACCGTTCTGCAATGTTTAGATACAGATATGTTTTCTTTAAACCAACAAAAAATCATACAGTGAAAAAACGTTTTTGTGTCGACATGTTTCAGTCAAAATTTCAATGGCTGTACAAAACTATTTACAAAGCGTGATTTTCTGCAGAAACCGTAGCTTCAAGGACAGGCTAGCGAGATAATAAATGATTAGGTTAACTTATGTCAATGATGCTTCAGTTAGTACCAGCACTAACACTGACAGAGAAATGCAATGGGAAAAATTATGTAAATGTTACTTTAGAGCAACGTTTTATTTAAATATATTTGATGAGTTTTTTTAAGATTTAAAGGCCCCTATGGTCGAAACATAATATACGGTTACTTACCAACAACGCTCATAGGATCTGCCACCAAAGTAACGTACATGTCTGATATAGCTATATTGATGATGAATATAGACTGTACGGTCATCGTTCCCTTCGATCTTGCTGTAATAATCAAAATTAGAGCATTTCCGAATGTCCCTACGAGAGACGCAATAGTTTGTAAAGCTATAGATGTAATTGCAAACCCAGGAGATTCCTGAATGAATTCATATTTTCCAAAATATTTGGTAACGTATCTAGATGTATTGAGAGTGGTATTCATAATTCAATATTGTAAGTATAGCAACTCTGATAAATTGACGAATGCAATGACCGTTCGGCAAAGTTAAGATACAGATATTAACTGGTAGTTACATATATTTTGCTGGTGGTAAATCGTCGTTAGTATATATTTTGATAAGTAAAACAGATTTTTCTTCTCCTTTATATGTTTTTATAAACACCTACATGTTTAAAATTTTATAACCGTTAATGAATACGTCATAGCTTTTGGTTAATGGGGGGATGCAACAAGAAAATTATTATATTTTTATTGGTTTTTAGTATGTCTTTCATTCGGGAAAAAATCGGAAGTACAATACCAATCATTTTCCTTGTATACAGGCCGAGTAGTCTTTATAGAGATGACGTGCTGTCGTTATAAGTCTTTAATCATATCCTTGTATAACAATCCCTATATTGTCATGCTTTTTCACGACTTAAAGTTATGGTCTAGTTGAGTATACAGCATAATTTTTTAAAGTTCAATAAGACACTTCAATATTCTGTTTGTAAGAAGGGAGAGACGACACTAGGGGGACAATACAATTATTAAACATCAGACAACGACAAAGATAGGCAACACTCTGGCCAACAGACGAACAACAGTCAACTTACAATTCACTAATAAATTTAGATTGCGCAAAACGAACACTTTCAAAATTCGGAGTTGAAATCAGGTGATCCGGACGGGTAAATAGTTAATGTTCCTCTAAATGTCGTGCAAGATCAGACAAATAATACTCAAATATCGATTTGTGTGAGGATTGCATTGTCAAGACTTAAAACTATAAGTCTGTCCGCAATGGTGTTTGGCAAAAATTAAGGGATTGGGTTATATGTATTCGACTTCTCTTGGTATAGAATATTTCATTAGTAAGATAACTAATAGGGTAAGGTTTAACTATGACAATTTGTCATAGAAAAGAAAATAGATTTACAAAAAGGAAGTGCACTTTTTTATTTAACAATTATCGTTTCCGGAAGATTGTTATATTTTTTCATCATCATTTTACACTATTGTACTTTCCTTTTTATATATTTTCCTGGTTTGAAATTACTATACACGCTCTGCTACAAATATAATTGGGGTTGACTTATAAACATGTATACCTGTATCAAACATAAAATATGTAGTCTGATATTTTAGATGCTATAATTATTTTATTTTGTAACATTCGTTTTACGGAAAGAGGTACCAATCAAATTTTAAAGGGTAGCGGAAGACACCAAACGGATATGCAAACGTATAAACGTATAACTCTTTCACAAACTTACAACGCTATTGAATAAAAGAATAAACGACCAAAAGATAAACAACAGTATACAAAACACAACATATGAAACTAAAGACTGCGCAACACGAACCCAATTAAGGGTGATCCCATGTGATCCACATTAAACACCTGTAGTTTTGCTCTCATGTAAGTTCAAGCTCGGTGATATTAAATTCGAGGAAAGAGGACTGGATTATCGATATGAAAATTGGAACATATATGTCGTCATATGTTAATGGTAAACCAACTCGTAAATGTTCGAAGGGATCACTTCAACTTTGCCATTTGGAGTCCTTGGTTAAATAGCTTCCTAGAAAGCATTAACTCTCTATCAAGGAAATCACGATATAAATGAGAGCTCTGGAATATCGTATTAACTTGGAGTGAGATATATACTCCATATGAAGGCGCTGCTCCTTATGAAATCAGACTAATATCTATAAAGGTTTAAGTTGTAAAGAAGAGAAGAACAGATGGTTTCCATCGGAATGCCGATTGTTTGTTGAAAAATACGTCCTCAAAACGTTACATATATATTGTCAATCAAGAAATCAAGGATCTTGATAATGTCAGTTTCATGGAATTTTTTGTTTGAATCATAGAGAGATGTTTTACAAAGTACGATTTATCCCTCCATAAGACAAGATATTTGTTTCTACGTTGACCATTCTTTTTATATAACAAAGCAGGACCAATTCTTTCAATTTGTCGTCTAGTTTGCAATTGGGAATACTTGTGTAACGGGTAGAAAAGCCAAATGTTTCAATACTATTGTAAGAGGAAAGAGACTTAGATTGTATGTACTCTTAACATATCTTTGGAATATTTAAGTATCCACATCTGATTCACACCGCAACTAGAGTGTGTAGCTTCTCAATAACTCTATAGCCCGGCTTTGATTGCTGATAAAATTAATTAAAAAAGTGTAGAAAGGGGCAACTTGGAGCACGTCTGTAACTGTTTAAGAATTTAGTTGATATAAGAACCCTACAAAACAGGCCAACATTAATCTTTCATTCCGTTTTGAATGTTCAAAAATCAATCATAAGTAGTATACATGTACCTGTATACGTACACTTGCATAAGCTCATTTGTTGTTACTTAATTTTCTTTGAATTTTCGTGCTGTACTGAATAATAGGATCCTGACTTAGGAAAGTATGCCTAGTGTCTAGTGCGATCAAATAATCGTTACGTGGCAAGATTGAAGAATTAATTGTTGATGTTAGCCTTGTTGATTTTGTATAAGAACTTAAAGTTAAGGTAAAATTTTGCCTGTAATTTTATAGAATGTTTAAATGTTGATTAATTGTAACCAATATCTCGTGTTTTTAATTGTTTGTGTATAATTTTGCATCATTGTGTAAATTTTCCACCATATAGAATTTCTGGATAAGGAAATTAGGTACTGCAATGCCATACGTTTGCAATGATAACATCAAAGGTGTAGAAAGTTGTCAAGTCCAACCTGCAGTGATGTAAATGTAATGCGTTTTTCAGCACTAATTCAAGACACAAGCGCAGTGAAGGTCAAAAACATTACCATCGTCCAAATTTGAAAAAAAAGTCTTCTAAATCTAGATCACTCACTGGGAGCTTTGACGGCTTTCTTTTACATCTCTATCATCCGCTTGGGTTACATTTAATTCGTACCATTCCTTTTTTGTCTGCCTAAAATATAATGAGATTATGCACTTGAAAAAAGATGATTAGATATGTTTTCTCAAATATACAGACTGGTAGGTATATTTTGTGATCTAACTATTTTCCGTTTATTTCAACCAGTAAGATCAGAAGCATTACACGATGAAAATATGAAATTCCTTCAAATTCAGTTTTCAAATAAATGAATCGATGCTATCAACATCAGGAACGTTCTTCGTCACAAAGAAGTCACATATAAAACTCCGGTCTATTTTTAAAATCAGTCTGTTCCTATTGTCTCCTACAGTTACACCAAAACCATTGCATCTAAAAGATGTAACTATAAACAAGCATTGCATTGATTTAGAAGAATACTTTAAAAAACACCCTCTATAATATGACTGTTCATACTCTCCATTATTTACAACTCATCTGACCATGTAATTACTGGTGATCTAAATATAATTCAACATGAACATCTTCGAAATTTGATATCTAATGGTAATAAATTGAGAGAGCCACAACACATCAATTGGAACCATGATTATACAATAATAATGGAGTTCGTTGAGGAATACACTAGAGCATGGGCAAAACCATAAAATGTTAAACCGAACTCTCTGTCAGAATTGGTGAAAGCAATTAGCTATTTGATACAATGTCGAATCCACAAGTTGAAAAACTGTATACATGTTCGACCGAAGTCCGTATTCAGAGACATAGAAGCTGTGTCTATCTTCTTTTCGTGATAGATATGTAGTTGTTCCTGTGGACAAAGCTTAAAACAATATTGATTTTGTCTTTTAATCCTATAACTACGTGTGTCTTACCAATAAATAAAAAATAGATTAAGGCTTGGGTAATCCAACGTGAATAAACGTAACTTATTTTAGGAATAATGAGATTTTTTTTCTTTTTAAACTCAAATTGATTCTGTATTGCACATGTTGCTGTTTAACAATAAAACTTGGTGTACAGCATTCCATCAAGTGTCCCTGCTAAATGTACCACAAAATATCCATGGAGAATATTCAGTAAAATTAACTATAAATAACATTACTATAAATATCTGAATAAATAAATTACTATTACACACAGTCTTTACTACTACAAAATTAGTTTATAATTTGTATTTATATTACTATCTATAATTACACAAGTTTGTCAGTATGTGTACGGAAATTATTCGTCACTACGGAATATTTTTTATACTATCTCGTATGTATCAGATATGAAATGCGGTCAGTGGCCTCACACGTTTTTTTTTTTTGCGACTCATGTTTGGATATATTGTTTTATAAGTCCTTCATTGCCTCGTTGAATATTCCATTGAGCAACAAAGCTGGGAACTTACCTTGTTTGTATTGGATATCTTAACTTCACAAAACTCCGTACAAACAACGATACATTGCCGGTCCATCTGCATGTTCTACCAAGAAATTAGATTAACCAAAATTTTGTCGGCTGTGAAAGAGGGATTACTCACGTAGTAGCTCTAACCATATGTGGATTCTTAAGATCTCAAAAAAACTTCAGGAATATTTTGAATCTAGGTCATTCTCTGAAATAAATTATATCTAAACCTTCGATTTTTCTCCCCTCTATACCACCATACCACATGAAAAATTGAAAAACCACCAAAAAGAAATAATCCACAATGCTTTTCTTTATAAAAAGGATACCATACTAGACATATTTTGTAACAAATGAAACCGTGAATAAAACATGTTACACTGAAGAACAAGTGATCAGTATGCTCGAGTTTCTTGTTGACAACATATTTGTTGAAATTAAAAGTTGCATTTTTCATCAGGTTGTAGGCATTCCTTTGAGAATCAACAGTGCGCCTATCTTGCCGACCTTTTCTGATTTTCATATGAGTCGAAGTTCCTTCAAACACTTGTAAAAAACATAAAGATAAAAAATAAGGGTGGATGATTTAATTTCACATACAGGTATATTGATGATGTTCTTTACATTACCAGTCCAAACTTTTCTAATTGAATCCCTTTAATATATTATTGAACTAGAGATTACAAATACCACAGATAGAGCTTCCTCTGCCGCCTTTTTAGACATGTATCTCGAATTTGACTACAGCAGTCATCTCTGTACTAGAATGTATTACACACAAGATGATTTCTATTTTGAAATTACAAATTTTCCTCACCCTAGCAGCAATATTATTTCACCCTCCTATGTAATATATTTTTTAACTCATATGATATTCAAGAGCTTGTAACTGCTGCTCAGAATTTGTAAAACGTCATCGGTGTCTGAGTCAAAAATAAGGGAGCCAGGGTTTTCTTAAAGAACGTCTTGTCTCTTTTTCAGAAAGTACCAAAACATAATAGATAAATATTTAGTGTCTACCTCACAAATAACACAGGATGGTCTTGAGTTTTGATTTTTTTTTAGATGTGAAGTATGAAGTTTATTTTAAACAAATACACCTATTATGTCACGTAAATACAAGTATACAAACATTATATTCAATTGGTAGATTCAACCATGTATTGTATTTTTCATATTTTGCTTCTTTGTAATGAAATATTTTGTTGTCATTTTTTGACAAATCATGAAGTTTAGTTGTATCATGGTTTAGTTTGAATTATGTAATTTGTAAAAGATTCTTTCAGTTAAAAAATACTAGTCTAATGATTATAAAATTCCTCGGCTAACAGCTTCGCACAACCCTCATTCTATACTGGTCCGTGGATCAATAATTAAAATACCTACATATTTATTGCTTTCAATTTTGGAATTTTTTTATTCACACCTCTTAAACGATTAATTCAATAAGGAAACTGTTCAAATACTGTTTGCAAGATTATGTCCTACTTCTTTTTTATTTTATTATTAGTAGTCCTTGAAATGACTGATAATTGGTGGTCTTTGCCGTAAGAAGGTATTAGCTTTTTGTCTACTAGTATACCATCTTTGTTGATCTGGTTCATTACAGTCATTTGAAACAAATTTGTTGTAATTATAATGTTAAAGAAATTATTAAACCAGTGTATGCATTCATACTAAACTAATTCCTCTAAATACGATTTTTTACATTTATTACGAATTATTATGGTTATAACGTATTACAGACAAAAAAATATTCCATTCAGTGAAAAGTTTGCTAATAAACTTTCGAGTTTTATTGTCGAAGTTTACCAAACTTGGCCTTAATAAACTTAATAAACAATCAATACAGAATCATTGAGCACGAGGAAAATAAGTGAAATGATAGACATGCAAAAGAGCGATTGTTGATTTTACTTTTTTATATTTTCAACATTTTTTCATTTTCTTTCATCACGGGTTTCCCTCCCCACTTGCGCTGTGTGATTGCCAATGCATACGGAAGATAAAGTATTTTCTCTTAACATATAGTCCAGATACACGTGTTTTAAAGTAATAATTTGCCATTTAAGTATAAACATATAAAACTTGTAATTAATTTGAAGTGCTATATGATCTTTACATAGAATCAGCAATCAAGAAAGTTTATAAAACATATTGAAAAAAATATGTATAAAAGGAGAAGTGAGTATACGCGAATGAGATACCAACCAAACAACAAAAAACCTTAGGTTCATATTTAGAAAAATACCAAAAGGTTTCTTTTTTTTTAGCATCGTATGTTACCTGGACGGGTTCCTTGTTATAAGGTGTAATTTCATCTTAAGATGAAGATGGGAACAGATTAGATGAAGATAATTTGATATTAGATGCAGATGGGAACAGATTAGATGAAGATAATTTCATATTAGATGAAGATGATTTCATGTTCGTTGAAAATGATTTCATATTAGATAGAGATGATTTCATATTGATTTTCGTGACAGACGATAGCGAAACTTGACTATTTTCTTTGTTGACAATATGGAATATTTTATGAAACTCTGTTTTAAATTTTCTATTTGAAAAATAATAGATAAAAAAATTGAATGATGGATGAAAATGGGCAAAAACTGTGATGCCAAGATGCACTTCGTGGGGAAATGTATCATCCGTATCGGCTACAAGCAATATGGCAAAAGGTATCCAACAGATTGAAAATACAGCATACACAATAAATATTGCTTTTGCTAGGCGCAGGGATTTATTATCAATGTTTGGTGCGCTGTTTCTACTTGTTACTTGTTTTCGTTTATGTCGGACAAACAAAAACAGTTTGAAGTAAGAAACTCCTACAACGATCAAAGGAATCCACACAAGACAAACAGAAAAAAACACTGTGAAACTGTACGTTGCCTTTCTGTCCCAAATACATTCCAAACTTTTGTCATCAAAACCATGTCCGCCAATTCCAGCGTAATTTAGTAGAACCATAATGATTCCAAGGAAATACAGTGATATGCACATTATGATACATGATGTTCGAGTAAATATTTTCTCGTAATAAGAGTTGTAACAAATTAATATATATCTGTTGAAACTGAGAAATGTGATGGACCCCAGAGACACAATACATGAAATGGTACACATTTTCCCAATAATCTCGCACAGAATTGGATATTGCAGGAAGAATGTTCGGCCTTCCACTTTACCTGAAAAAAAGATAAATATGTGATATTATATTTTATAAACGTTAGTATTGGAACATGACAGTACGTTTGATGTGTTTGAGCTTGTAATTTTGCCATTTGATAAGGGACTTTCCGTTTTGAATTTTCTTTGGAGTTCGGTATTTTTGTTATTTACTTTTTACAATGAAAATTTATGTGACATTTGAATAAATAACTTATCTGTATTTTACAAAACCTTTCGGAACTTTTGGGTACTCAATGCTCTTTAACATGGTACTTTATTTGGCCTATTTATGATTCGAGCGTGACTGATGAGTCTTTTGTAGACGACGAAACGCTTTTCCCACGTACAAACTTTTAAGCCTGGTATCTATGATGAGTTTATTATGGAATATACTGACCAAAACAAATTCATCAAAGATACCAGGATATAATTGTGTACCCCAGATACGCCAGACATGTTGTTATCGTTTTCAATTACTTATTGACTAGTTTAGGATATGCTTTGCATTTTGGATCCTGATGAAGTGCAGAGGTTTAAAAATATAAGGTGAATACCTAGAGATAATTCAATAGTAAACGGAGGAGTTAGAGTTAGTGATGTGATATAAACACTTACTTTGATTAAAAATGTCATCATAATAGAATCGAATGACATCTTTTAAACAATTTATAATTAAAAAAGATCTGTTATTGACATTTTTTAATCTTAAAGTAAAGCTTTAAGCACAAAACTTCAGCAGACATTGTTAACATAAATGAAAGCAGTATGATCCCTGGTGAAATCAAATGTACGCCCTAACGATAATGTTAATTTTACAGTTGATAGATCATAAACTTTATTGTATATTTCATATGAACATAATTTATTGGTTTTATATTTGTATTAATTGTGTTTGTGTAGCAGAATGATAATCCCTTTCTTCATTAGAAGTACGAGCTTTAGCGTCAAATTTACAATTTATAATGTAAAACCCCTTTACCATTTGCCGCAACTGCACAAAAATGTAAAAAAAATAGTATTTATCAATAAAGTAGGCGGAGCTTATTATTCTTTTTGGCGTTTTCTGTGTTGCTTTTTCATCAATCGGAAAATGGCTTGCATCCATTTCAAATTAGTATTTGTCTATTAAACGAATACTGTTGATATTCAATATTGCTTTAAAGTCTATCAAAGCACGGATGTAAAATACTTTTGGTGTACACAAAAGTATATAACAGATCAACTCTATTGATCATGTAGTGTACTCTTTTGACAGTTGCTATTTTCTGACCTTATTTTTTACTGTTTCTAAAAAATCTTGGGTTTTGAGGAATCACAATGTATGACAAAGCTCAGTAAAGATCAGTTTAAATTCCATTAAAAAAAATAATAACACTTTCAGTTACTCTAGTGATAGGTTTGCTTCAAATGGTTATGCATTCTATGATTATACTGCGGAAATTTACCGATGGGAACTCATTTTAAACAATTCTAATATAAAAAAAAATAAAAGAGAGGTGGAAAGAACCAAAGGGATATTCAAAGTCATAAGTAGAAAACATATTTGACCGGGCCCGATTTAGTGGTGTTACATCTTACAAAGTCTATCCGAATCATTTTGCAAAAAATTCCGCTCAAACCAGTGCTGGTGGCCGTCTAAAACTTGCAGTGAAAGATAGTTGTTTTGCTTCTTGTTGAAGGTTTCACTGTGACTCTGAGATGAAGAACAACAATAAAAGCGCTGTTCCTTTGCTTTTTGTGTGTTTTTTCCTGTGTATATACTGATTTTGTGTCCTGATTTGATACTCCACTTTCTTTGTTTTTATATTATGACAATACCATGTAAAAAAAACCCGACCAAATGACAAAAAACAGTCTACAAAAACACAACAAGGAAAACTAAAGACTAGGCAATTCACGAACCTCACTAAAAACCGCTGGTAATCTCAGATGCTCCGAAATAATTTTCGATTTCACACAGAAACTCTAAACTTAAATTTATGAGAAAAGATACGATTGTATCGTTTGAATGATGTAAAATGTAAAATAAAAATTCAAAAAATTGTAAATGGGATTTTTAAAATTTTACAACGTCAATATAACTGCTTGCCCTAATTTTTTTCAAATACGCATTAATTCGAAACTTTGTTTTGTTTCCTTTTACGTTTTAACTATAATATGAACTGACACCACCCTATATATAAAAAAAAAAAACATTTTGTATGATTGCCAAACTGGCAACTATCAACAGCAGTCTAAATGACTTAGATGTAAGCTACTATAGGTCATCGACCTGTCTTTAACAATGGACAAGTCTCAACCGTATAGTCATCTAGTCTGATTTATGACAAAACAATACTCTAAAACAGATAGCAACCAACATAAACAAATAAATTCAGGTTCCTGACTTGGGACATGAACAAAAAGAATATGGTGGGGTAAAATATGTTTCTAAAAGCTAAACCCTCCACTTATCTGGGATATTGGCTCAGCATAAGAACATACTGTAAATATTCATACAAAATGGTTTGACTGATTAGACTGGTAGAAAACACAAAAACAACTAAAATAACTAAAATAAATACAAAAGACAGAAATTTACCCATCTAAAAGTATAAGCATTTTCAGAAAGCTAGTTCTAGGCAAATAACAACTACATGTAATAAATAAATCATGTTCTCTGTGACTTAAGTGTAAATCAGTTCACATAGAACTCTTGTTTTTTTATATATAAAATAGAGGTTAGCTACTAGTACAGGGAGAAGACATGCACGATCAATTGAAAAGATAGTTATTCTATTTTTTTAAACAAGTTGCAATTCACAACAATGTTGCAAGTCGAATCCTTTTATATTATATAAAAGAAGTAATGTAAACTAGAATATAACGAAAAAGTAAAAATTAAAAAACATTTAATCTTTAAATGATATTTTTCTGATACACATTCTTGTCAGTCATCAATGTCCCTTGTCCTGAATATTTATGTTTGGTATTTCTCAAAGGAAATGTACCAATACTAATTCCAAAAATCATTAAGGAATCCTGTTATCATCTTTATGAACAAACAATTCATCAACATTATTTATCCAGTTTTTTATTAGCAATTAAATTTTATCTTGATTGTATCCAGTTAATTAAAAGATTTTTTGTCTTGAAACCAACCACGAATCAGAGTTTTATAAGATTGTGGTATTGATATGTTTCAATCTTAATTACAGTGGCTGTACAAATTCATGTACAAGAACTAGAGAGAATATTATTTGATATCAATGATGATTTGAGTAGACACCAGCACCAACCATGGCAGAGAAATGCAATTGGGAATATCATGACAATGTTTCTTTAGAGCGATGATTTGTTTTATTTTAACGTGATATAAGGTTACTTACCAACAATGCTCATTGGATTTGCCATCAGAGTAACGTACATGTCTGATATTGCTATATTAATGATAAATATAGACTGCATTGTCATCGTTCCCTTCGATCTTGCTGTTATAATCAAAATTAAAGCATTTCCGAATGTTCCCACAACAGACGCAATAGTCTGTAAAACAATACATGTAATTGCCAACCCAGGAGATTCCTGAATAAATTCGTATTTTCCAAAATATTTCAAAACGTACCCAGATGTATTGAACGTCGTATTCATGATGCAATGCTGTTAGTATAACAACTCTGGAAAATTGACGAATGTGATGTCCGTTCGGCAAAATTAAAATACAAAATATTAATAGGTAGATTTTTTTGGCTGGAGGTAAATCGTCGTGTGTATATATCTTTATAGCTATAACAGATGTTTGTGCCCTCCTTTATAAGTTCTTCAAGACACCTACATGTATTTAATAATATAACGTAAACGTATGCGTCAGATCTTTCTGTAATTGTGGCTATGTAACAAGAAAATTACTATATTTGTAATTGTTAGTATATAAAAATAAGTATATATTTCATCGGAAGTAAAATTCACAGCTTTTTCTTGTTTGCAGGCCATGTATTATTTATCGAGATGACGTTCTGTCCTTTTAGTTCTATAATCGCTAATTCATATCCTGTTATTTCAATCCCTTATTGTATGATGACCTTTTTCAAATGCGACTTTTAATTATCATATTTTACTACATTCAAACTCATATGTCGAAAATAAACCGACAACGCCATGGGAAAAAAGAAAAGAACCACGGCTCCGGAAGGGTCTGCAGGTCCTGATCAACATGTGGCACCCGTTGTGTTGCTGATAAGGTTGGTAATTCAATGCCACAACATAGAAAACTAAAGAGTGTGCAACACAAACCCCTTAAAATCGGTTGTGATCTCAGGTGATAAGGAGGGTAAGCAAATCCTGCTCTACATGTGGCACCCTTCGTGTTGCTAATGTAAGTTCAAACCCGGTGAAAAGTCTGATTCGGTAGGTTTCATTCGGGGAAAAGAGAACGTGATTGTGGTTTAAAAGGGACAATAAAAAAAGAACAACAGGTGGCACCATGGCCAACAGACGAACAGCAGTCCATTAACATTTCACAAAAAAACTAGAGGTTGAGCAAAAAGAACCCCACCAAATTCGGGGTTGAAATCAGGTGCTCCGGAAGGGGAGTTGGTTCCTGCTCCTCTAAATATCGTTCAAGATCAGACAAGAAATAATCATCAATCGATTTTTGTGACAGAGGCAAGTTCAAAAGCAAAAGCAATAAGTCTGTTCTCGAGGGAGTTTGTCAAAACTTACGGGATGTTATAAATAGTCCCAACTTCTCTTTTTATAGTGTATTTCATTTGTAAGATAAATAGTAGGGTAATGTTTGACTCTGAGAGGGTGTGAGCGAAAAGAAATACATTTACAAGTAGGAAGTGCACTTTTTTGTATTATTACAATTATTGTTTCCGAAAGGTTGTTCTATTTTTCCTACATTATTTTTAGCTACATAGCTATCCTTTTTAAGATATCTTCTTGTATTTAAAATGACACGCTCTGATATAAAAATGGGTTTGCGTTATTCCCATGTATGTATGAATCATAAGTAACATGTAGTCAAAATTGTACATGCTATAATTATTGTATTTTGTAACAATAGAATTTACAAGGGAGAAAAAATAGTAACACTTTCCAACGTGTTACAAAATACTTTGTACCTTTTTGTTTCAAAAGAGGGACGAAAGATACCAGAGGGACAGTCAAACTCATAGATCGAAAACAAACTGACAACGCCATGGCTAAAAATAAAAAACAAACAGAGAATTAAAAGTACAGATGACACAACATAGAAAACTAAAGACTAGTCAACAAATCTGGTAAATAGTCTAATTCGGTAGGTCACATTCGTGAAAAGGGAAGGGTATTGTAGTTACGACATAATTATTACCTTCCACTGTTTAAAAAAAAATAAAGATAGAAAAAAAAATTAAGTGATATGGTTTTATTTCCAATGAGTAAACTATCAACCAGAGTCAAAACAACGTGGTTTTAATCAAGTATAAGTTACAATACTCCCTTCAATAATGAGCAAGACCTACAATGTAGAGTCAGATATAAAACGGCCTGACGTGACACAATTGTAAAATAATTTAAAAATAAAAGAAAAAGAAAATCAACAGAATGATTTAAGAAGAAATAAAAACAACAAATACAAATATAACAGACAGCAACCAACGACAACCACTTAATTTGACTTGTGTTATTTTCATCGATAATATCACTCGCATAGATAATGCAACTGTGTATCCTGTTCTGGAATAAAATTGCCTTTTTTTATTTTTCATGAAATGGTTCCCCAAAAAAACTTATAAATCTACAACTGTTACTATTACTTTATTGCAACAACTTGTACGAACGAGGTGCCCTGATAAATATCTATGAGAACAGGGTGTCTTTTACTTTTCGATTGTAAGTTAGTTACAAAGTTTAATCAATGCGAATCTTCAAAATAAAATACGTATTTTTGTTCCGTAACTGACCTTTGCTTTCCATCCCTATAGGCAGTATACATGATACATACACGTTTACGAAAATCGTGCGTGTGTCTAATGTGATCAAATAATCGTTCCCTTGCATGATGGAAGAAGTTATTGTTTATGTTGATCTTTATAATGTTTAATTGAATGTAAACATAAGAAACAGTATATTTAATTTTCATTGTCGAAAAACAAAATTCTGTATCTTTCATTAAGTTTCACACATGTCATGTTATGATAAACAGTATAAAATAAACGTAATTTAATGACCTTTTTTACGGATGGAGTACCGTCAATTCTAAATTTATATGTGTTGTTTCTTTGTTAGTCATAAAATTATTTCATATACTTCATAAAACAACTATATATATACAACGTACTATTCAGCAATCTTTTGTTAGAATTTACAGAAGATTTTTGGAATTTACGAATCAGATTACTTTTTCTGTTACGTGTCTGTTTACTTCATAGTAAAATTGTATATTCATTTTTTGAAACGGGATTGCCCAGCAGTGGAATCAAACTCTGACTTTCTTACTATCGATACTCTAAGGGACCTAAAGCAGATGAACTAACTACTAGTTACTTTGCTATCGACACTGCAATAGATCTACCAGCAGTGGAATAAATGACGGCTTTCTTGCTACCGATACTCTATGGGATCCATCAGCAGCGGCAAAAAATACTCTAAGGGAATCACCAGCAGTTGAATAAACCACTACCTACCTTGCTATTGAAATTTCAAGGGATCTACCAGCAATGGTATAAACTACTGGCTTACTTTTTGTCGATACTCTAAGGGGTCCACTAGCAGTGACATAAACTACTGGCTACCTTACTATTGTTATTTCATAAATAACTGGCCCCTTTGAAATCGCCACTAAGAGGATTCACAAGCAATTTAATAAAGCACTGACCACCAATAATCCAATGGACCCATCAGTAGTGGTTTAAACCACTAGCTACTCTGCTAACAAAACTCCAAGAGATCTACCAGCAGTGACATAAACCACTGACCACCTTGCTATCAATAATCCAATGTATCCATCAGTAGTGGTTAAAACCACTAGCTACTCTGCTAACGAAACTCCAAGAGATCCACCAGCAGTGGCATAAACCACTGACCACCTTGCTATCAATAATTCAAAGGATCCATCAGTAGTGGTTTAAACCACTAGCTACTCTGCTAACAAAACTCCAAGAGATCCACCAGCAGTGTCACAAACCACTGACCACCTTGCTATCAATAATCAAATGGATCCTTCAGTAATGGTTTAAACCACTAGCTATTCTGCTAACGAAACTCCAAGATAACCACAAGCTTTGGCATAAACCACTGACCACCTTGCTATCAATAATCCAATGGATCCATCAGTAGTGGTTTAAACCACTAGCTACCCTTCTAACGAAACTCCAAGAGATCAACCAGCAGTGGCATAAACCACTGACCACCTTGCTATCAATACACTAGGGATTCCAAAAGCAGTGGCATAATCCTTGCGATTGATACCCAGTAACCAGTAAGCAGTGGCATTAACAACATGCTACCTGCATTCCATACTCCGAGTGATCAACCAGCAGTCGAAAAATTTGCTAGCTACCTTGCTATCGATATTCCAAGAGAACCATCGTCATTGGCATAAGAAACCGGCTACATTGCAATTGATACTCTCTCCAGGAGCTTCATTACCAGTGGCATAAACCACTAGCTACCTTGCGATCGATACCCCACGGGATTCATCATCCGTGGCTTAAATCACAAGCTTCTTTGGGATCAATACCACAAAGGATCCATCACCAGTGGCATATATCACTAGCTACCTTGCGATTGATACCCCAAAGGAGAGAGCACCAGTGGCATATATCACTAGCTACCTTGCGATTGATACCCCAAAGGATTCATCACTAGCGGCATAATTCATTAGCTACTTTGCGATCGACACCCCAAAGGATTCATCACTTGTGGCATAATTCATTAGCTACTTTGCGATCGACATCCCAAAGGGTTCATCACCAGAAGCATAAATCACTAGTTACTTTGCGATTGATACCCCCAAAGGATCCATCACCAGTGGCATATATCACTAGCTACATTGCGATTGATCCCAAAGGATCCATCACCAGTGGCATATATCACTAGCTACCTTGCGATTGATACCCCCAAAGGATTCATCACCAGTGGCATATATCACTAGCTACTTTGCGATCGTTACCCCAAAGGATTCATCACTAGTGGCATATATCATTTGCTACTTTGCGACCGACACCCCAAAGGATCCATCACCAGTGGCATATATCACTAGCTACCTTGCGAATGATACCCAAAGGATGCATCACCAGTGGCATATATCACTAGCTACCTTGCGATCGACACCCAAAAGGATTCATTACCGGTGGCATAAATAACTAGCTACTTTGCAATCGTTACACCAAAGGATTCATCACCAGTTGAATATATCATTAGCTACCTTGCAATCGTTACCTTAAAGGATTCATCAACAGAGGAATAGTTCATTAGCTACTATGCGATCGATACCCCAAAGGATTCATCACCAAAGGAATAGATCACTAGCTACCTTGTGATCGTTACCCCAAAGCTTCATCAACAGAGACATAGTTTATTAGCTACCTTGCGATCGATACCCTAAAGGTTTCATCACAAGTGGCATAAATCACTAGCTACTTTGCGATTGACACCCCAAAGGATTCATCACCAAAGGCATAAATCACTAGCTACTTTGCGATCGACACCCAGAAAGGATTCATCACTAGTGGCATATATCGCTAGTTACCTTGCGATTGATACCCAAAGGTACCATCAACAAAGACATATATCATTAGCTACCTTGCGATAGATACCCCCAAAGGCTCCATAACCAGTGGCATATACCACTAGCAACCTTGCGATTAATACCCCACAGGATGAATCACCAGTGGCATAATTCACAAGTAGCTACCTTGCTATCAGTTTTGCAAAGGATTCATCATCAGTGGCATATATCACTAGCTACCTTGCGATCGATACCCCCAAAAGAATTCATCACCAGTGGTATAAATCACTAGCTACATTGCTATCAGTATACCAAAGGATCCATTACCAGTGCCATATATCACTAGCTACTTTGCGATTAATACCCCAAAGGACCCATCACAAGTGGCATATACCACTAGCTATCTTGCTATTGATATTCCAAAGGATTCATCACCAATTGAATTAACCACTGGCTACCTTAATATCGATATTCCAAGGGAGTCGCTAGTAGTGGCATAAACAATTAGGCACCATGCTATCGATACCCCGAGAGATCAGCAAGCAGTTGCATACCTTGATATTTATATTCCTATGGATCCGTCAGTAGTTGCATACAAAATTGGGTACCGTGCTACGAAACGAAAGCTTCAATTATTAGGAATTAAAATATTCACGCTAAAGGTGGAAGAATAAGCTAAAGTACTCTTTCAGTCGACCCTTCTGCCCCAAGATTCATGCTTGAACACTGCTTCTGTCAACTAGCACACTTCTGCCCTATGATTCATGCTTCAACACTGCCTGTGTCAACTAGCACCCTTCTGCCCTAAAATTCAAGCTTGAACACAGCATGTGTCAACTTGCACCCTTCTGCCCCAAGATTCAAGCTTGAACACTGCATGTGTCAACTTCCAGCCTTCTGCCCCAAGATTCAACTTGAACACTGCATGTGTCAATTTCCACCCTTCTGCCCAAGATTCATACTTGAACACTGCCTCTGTCAACTAGCACCCTTCTGTCCCTAGATTCTGGCTTCAACACGGTTACTGTCAATAGCACCCTTCTGCCCCAAGATTAAACTTGAACACTGCCTGTGTCAACTAGCACCCTTCTGCCCCTAATTTAGGCTTGAACACTGCCCGTGCCAATAGCACCCTTCTGCCCCAAGATCCAAGCTTAAACACTGCCTGTGTCAACTAGCACCTTTCTGCTCCAAGATTCAAGCTTCAACACTGCCTGTGTCAAATAGCGCCCTTCTGTCCTAGTTTTAAAGCCTGATCACTGACTCTGTTAATAGCACCCTACTGCCTCTAGATTAAAGCTTGAACACTGCCTGTGTCAACTTGCACCCTTCTGCCCCAAGATTCAAGCTTGAACACTGCCTGTATCAATAAGCACCCTTCTGCCCCAAAATTCAAGCTCAAACACTGCCTGTTTCAACTTGCCCCTTCTGCCCAAGATTTAAGGTTTAACACTGCCTGTGTCACCCAACACCCTTCTGCCCAAGATTCAAGTTTGAAAACTGTTTCTGTAAACTTGCACCCTTCTGCACCAAGATTTAATCTTGAACACTGTCCCTGTCAATAGCATCCTTATGCCCCATGATTGAAGCTTAAACACTGCCTGTATCAACTAGCATCTTTCTGCCCCAAGATTCAAGTTTGAAAGCTGTTTCTGTCAATAGCACCCTTCTGCCCCAAGTTTCAAGATTGAACACTGCTTTGTTCACTAGCACCCTTCTGCCCCAACATTCAAGCTTAAACACTGCCTGTGTCAACTAGCACCCTTCTGCCCCACGATTCAAGCTTGAACACTGCCTATGTCAACTAGCACCCTTCTGTCCCAAGATTCAAGCTTGAACAGTGCCTCTGTCAACTTGCACCCTTCTGCCCCAAGATTCAAGCTTGAACACTGCCTGTGTCAACTAGCACCCTTCTGCCCCAATATTAAAGCTTGAACACTGCATGTGTCAACTTGCACCCTTCTGCCCCAAGATTCATGCTTGAACATTGCTTCTGTCAACTAGCACACTTCTGCCCTATGATTCATGCTTCAACACTGCCTGTGTCAACTAGCACCCTTCTGCCCTAAAATTCAAGCTTGAACACAGCATGTGTCAACTTGCACCCTTCTGCCCCAAGATTCAAGCTTGAACACTGCATGTGTCAACTTCCAGCCTTCTGCCCCAAGATTCAAGCTTGAACACTGCATGTGTCAATTTCCACCCTTCTGCCCAAGATTCATACTTGAATACTGCCTCTGTCAACTAGCACCCTTCTGCCCCTAGATTCTGGCTTCAACACGGTTACTGTCAATAGCACCCTTCTGCCCCAAGATTAAGCTTGAACACTGCCTGTGTCAACTAGCACCCTTCTGCCCCAAGATTCAAGTTTGAAAGCTGTTTCTGTCAATAGCACCCTTCTGCCCCTAATTTAGGCTTGAACACTGCCCGTGTCAATAGCACCCTTCTGCCCCAAGATTCAAGCTTAAACACTGCCTGTGTCAACTAGCACCCTTCGGCCCCAAGATTCAAGCTTCAACACTGACTCTTGTCAATAGCACCCTTCTGCCCAAGGAGTCAAGCCTCAACACGGTCTCTGTTAATAGCACCCTTCTGCCCCAAGATTCAAGCTTGATCACTGACTCTTGTCAACTTGCACCCTTCTGTCCCAATATTCGGGCGTGATCACTGACTCTTGTCAATAGCACCCTTTCTGCCCCAAGATTCAAGCTTGTATACTGCCTCTGTCACTTAGCACGTTTCTGCCCCAAGATTCAAACTTGAACATTGCCTCGGTCAACTTGCACCCTTCTGTCCCAAGATTCAAGCTTGAACACTGACTCTTGTCAATAGCACCCTTCTGCCAAAGAGTTCCAGCTTAAACACTGCCTGTATCAACTAGCACCCTTCTGCCCCAAGATTCAAGCTTGAACACTGACTCTTGTCAATAGCACCCTTCTGCCAAAGAGTTCCAGCTTGAACACGGCCTGTATCAACTAGCACCCTTTTGTCCCAAGATTCAAGATTGAACACTGCCTCTGTCAACTAGCACCCTTCTACCCAAACAATTAAGCTTGATCACTGACTCTTGTCAATAGCACCCTTTTGCCCAAGAATTCCAGTTTGAATACTGCCTCTGTCAACTAGCACCCTTCTGCCCAAAGATTCAAGCTTGAACACTGCCTCTGTCAATTTGTACCCTTCTGCCCTAAGATTCAAGCTTGAACACTGCTAGTGTCAACTAGCACCCTTCTGTCCCAAGATTCCAGCTTGAACACTGCCTCTGTCAACTAGCACCCTTCTGCCCCAAGATTCAAGCTTGAACATTTCCTCTGTAAACTAGCACCCTTCTACCCGATGATTCAAGCTTGAACACTGCCTCTGTCAACAAGCACCCTTCTGCCCCCAGATTCAAGCTTGAACATTGGATCTGTCAATAGCACCTTTCTGCCCCATGATTCAAGCTTCAACACTGCATGTGTCAACTAGCACCCTTCTGTCCCAAGATTCAAGCTTGAACACTACCTCTATCAACAAGTACCCTTCTGCCCCTAGATTCAAGCTTCAACACTGCCTCTGTCAACTAGCCACCTTCTACCCCAGGTTTCAAGCTTGAACCCTGCATGTGTCAACTAGCACCCGTATGCCCCAAGATTAAAGCTTGAACACTGCCTCTGTCAACTAGCACCCTTCTGCCCCAAGATTCAAGCTTGAACACTGCAAGTGTCAACAAACACCATTCTGCCCCAATATTTAAGTTGCAACACTGCCTCTGTCAATAGCACCTTTCTGCCCAAAGATTTAAGCTTGAACACTTCCTCTGTCAATAGCACCTTTCTGCCCCAAGATTAAAGCTTGAACACTGCCTCTGTAAATTATACCTTTCTGCACCATGATTCAAGCTTGAACACTTCCTCTGTCAATAGCACTTTTCTGCCTCTAGATTCAAGCTTCAACATGGTCACTGTTAATAGCACCCTTCTGCCCCTAGATTCAAGCTTGAACACTGCCTGTGTCATCTTACACCATTCTGCCCCAATATTTAAGTTGCAACACTGCCTCTGTCATTAGCACCCTTCTGTCCCAAGATTCAAGCTGGAACACTGCCTGTGTCATCAAGTTTTAAATGTAACGTCGTTTGGTAGTTAAAACGTGATTTAGTAAATCAAAAATCAAATTCTTTATTTTCTTAGAAAGGAGCATAAAATATATCAAAACATATATAATACGGAAAGAAATACAATGTATATATAAACAATGACAGATATAACAAAATCACATGATTTTTACATTAAGATAATTGACAAATATGTGCACAGATCTTTAATTATTATGTATATTCATGGAGATTCTGTAGTTTAATCTAATGGACCTAACAATTATGTACAGCATGTAGATGTATTACGGTAATAATCCCTGAATGTACCAAACAGATATGTGCAGCATTTAGAGGTTTCACGAAACATATTTCTTGAATTAATATTCTCTTTGCTAAGTCCTGATATTTACACCTATAAAGTCATACAGACTTCAGGAGGACACAGGACAGAATCAATAACGTGAAAAACGCCGTTTGATACAGACTGGTCTGCTACAATAACTCTTGCTTGGTTTATCTTTACTCCATCTACAAAAATCATAAGGTAAAAAAACAGATTCTCATACTTCCAGTACATTTTGGATCTTAGGCAATTTTATCTGTTTTATTTTCATGTTCGAATTTAAAATACTTCGACTTATAACGAATAATACCTAATACCAACTAAATAATTTAACTGCAAAAGTGGTTGTCCTTTTAATATCAAAATATGAAGAGTGGTATGATTTTCAATGAGACAACTATCAAGCAGAGACTAATTATATATATCATCAACATTTTAATAGCCTGTCTTGACTGTCTTTCATTTCTGCATGTAACTCTCGTGTATGGCTTAAACTATGCAATGATTCCTTTTTTTTGTTTTCATACATGCTCCATATAATATATGTTTTCCTTATAAAATTACTACTAGATTAGTGGAATTCAATGTTAAGATTAATTGACTAACTTATTTCTAAACTTTAAATGTGTAACATAAAATTATTTAAGTAAAAACCATGTGCATCAACACTTACCTGAACTGACTCTGATTGTAACATTTTTCCCCTCTACAGTCTGAACTGAGAGGTTTTTAAGTCCTGCGCTGTAATAAGTCAGTGGCAACACGTGGTATGTTAACACTTCCGTGAGAGCTGTAATATTCTTCGACAACATGTCAAGGAATCCAGCTGGTAACTTTTCAAAGGCTTCGTTTGTTGGTGCAAACAATGTGTATGCATCTGGACCTACAAATAATTAGGGGGAAAACATGATATCGAGTACATAAATGTTTTTCAGTCACGGAATGATCCCAAATACGATTTAAATAAGGTGTCATGGTAGCTGATAAATATCAATATTGGTTGAGATTATATGAATCATGGAATGGGTAGGGATTTTCGCATAAATAAATAAAGGAATGGGGGTGTTTTTTTTATACCCCAGCCGAATGTCTGTACCCAAATTTGTATGTTGAGACCCCCTCGTGCATCTAGTGGACAGACTTGAAATAATTTTAATGAAAATTCGTAAGCGGTTCCGCGTAACCCTGCGTCTCGCCTGCGATTGCTGCTGTCATTGTAAAAGTGTAATGTTGACTTAAAAAGCGACTCCATTTATCAGTAAAATACAGAATTTTTAAAAAATTCAACCTTTTTCTTATATGATATTTCATGGTCTTGAAGATTAGCTTCTGTCCAAGTTTCATAACAATCCATGAAGGTTTACAAATTTAGCATGTCAAAAGAGTTTAATTTCAGACTGTCTGTAAATGTTAACTGTAAAAAACTAAGTCCATCTATCAGAAAAATACTGAAAATGAAAAAAATATATTTTCAAATGTTTGCTTCAGACATCATCGCTTAATCATAAAAAAGCATCTGCCAAAGTTTCATAAAATTCTATGAAGTTTGACACAGTAATTGATGTGTAACAAACTTTAACCCAAGACTGTATCTACTTGTTAAATGTAAAAAAAAGTCTATTAATCAGTTAAATACGGAAATTTTGCTCTGCATACTGTATTTTGGTCATAACTAAGCTCCTGTCCAAATTTCCTAAAATTCCACGAAGGTTTGACAAAGTTATTAATGACTGAAAAACTTTAACCTCAGACTGTATCCAATTGTTAACTGTAAAAAATAAACGTAAGTCCATTTATCAGTAAAACAGTAAATGAAAATAAATATTATCAAAATTTTGCTCTGAGTACTGTATTTTTGTCATAAACAAGCTTCTGTCCAGATTTCCTACAATTCCATGAAAGTTTGACAAAGTTATTGATGACTGAAAAACTTTAACCTCAGACTGTATCTACTTGTTATATGTAAAAAAAACATAGGTCCATTTATCAGTAAAATACGGGAAAATGAAAATAAATATTTTCAAAATTTTGCTCTGGATACTGCATTTTGGTCATAAACAAGCTTCTGTCAAAATTTCCTAAAATTCCATGAAAGTTTGACAAAGTTATTGATGACTGACAAACTTTAACCTCAGACTAAATCTGAATGTTAATTGTAAAAAAAAACATTAATCAGTTAAATACGTAAAATTTTGCTCTGAATATTGTATTTTGGTCATAACTAAGCTTCTGTCCAAATTTCCTAAAATTCCATGAAGGTTTGACAAAGTTATTGATGACTGAAAAACTTTAACCTCAGACTGTATCTACTTGTTAACTGTTAAAAAAACGTAAGGCCATTTATCAGTAAAATACAGAAAAATGAAAATAATGTTTTCAAAATTTTGATCTGGATACTGCATTTTGGTCATAAACTAGCTTCTGTCAAAATTTCCTAAAATTCCATAAAGGTTTCACAAAGTTATTTATGTCTAACCAAAAACTGAACCTAAATGTTGCCGCCGCCGACGCCGACGACATCGACGACGGAATCTAGGATAGCTATGTCTCGATTTCGCGACATAAATGTCACAAGCTCGACAATAAGAACCAACAGACTGTTTAACTATTTTGCATCACGGTACGAAGCTAATAGTTTCAGTAGATATTCAAGCCATCTTGAAATAATTAACACCAGTTAGTTCTGATCGGTTGCTTATGGTGTGGCTAAGGTTCTTATAACTTGAATGAGTTATAAAACTGAGAACACGCCAGGAAGGGGAGAAGAAACTGTATACGTATTGAATTAAATAACAGCATGTGTATATAAGACTCGATCGATTAATATGCTAAAGTTATCTTTGTAAACAAAGAACTAACGCTAATAAAACAAAAAGAAAAAGTTGGGATATTGTTTACTATGAGAATTTTTTTTTGAAAAAATGAAATGAGACGGCTCATATTTGTACGTCAAGAACGATATAATCCAAATATATACAAATATGTGATGAATACGTCAATGAGACAGCAACCAAACGATTCCACAAAAAACATCTCACGGTTAACATATGGTCAATGAACTAGTGTCGGTATGACAAGTTCTTTATCGTTTATGTTTCTAGAGAAACTTTGATTTTTAACAGAAACTATCAAAATAAAAATCCATATTATCAACGCTTAAAATATAATAACCAAACACAACCAAGTAGTTTCTATAGTTTTAGTTGACACTTTGACAACACGTGCCTTCATATTACATATTAAGACATTTCTTGCTAGTCCAACGTCTTTGTCTATACTTTCAGGTTTGTCATAAATTTAATGTAATATACATACCAGACAATGTCTTGGCCAGTCCGGCCTTAGTAACAGCCTTGACCAAAGTCATTAGATCTTTGTTTTTAGCAACAGTAGCTACTAAGTTTTCCTTTGGAAGCGGAAACATCACTCTACTTATAACATGTATCACTCCGTTTGACGCCTTTTGGTCAGCTAATACAACTGGACTTCCTGTAGCAGTCACTAGCTATAAATAAACGTCTTATAATAAGTATTTATAAATAAAATATAACAGTGAATCAAGTTGTGAATGTTATTGTACCTCCCAAAACAGTTTGGAGGAAATAATGTCCTGTCTGTCTGACTTTGTGCCCTGCGTAACTGTAACGTGATGTATTTTCACAGAGTTTAATTTCAAATGCCAAATTAACATGTTTGCAAGGTTTCATTTTCACGTTTTTCATGCATGTCTTAAATTCTGATATTGCTTAAAGATCAAATTTACGATATGGGACATTTTTTCGATTTTTCATTAATCCCAGAATTAGAGAAAATAGACCCTCTCGTATATTTCGCATTTTACAGTATGTACGGATGAAAAAGCTGTCTCATTTACTGTCGCTTTTCCCTGTAATTTTACACATGAGAGGATTTTTTCTGTCGTCTTGGTCCGCCTCATATTTTTGTTAGCTCACTGCATGTCTCTATGCATTATTTAAGAGGGAGGGGGATAGATTTCACCCTTTTGTTGGTCACTATGTTACCACGCCACAATACGGGAACACTTTTGTTTTCAAAGCCTTAACAGATCACGTTTGAATAAGACACATACTAAGCTAATTTTACCTAATACTAGTACATTTCTCGTTGAACTTTTTTTTTTTATTTTGATCAATTGGTTTTTTAAATGTCCAAAAAGTTTTGCCTTCTCATACTTGGAGATTTTTCAACTACTATATCTATAATTCTTGATAAATTAGTGTAGACCAAACTTTCTTTAGATGTATCTCTATCCATTGTTCTATTGTTATGACATTTTTTCTTTTTACAATCTAAAAATTCCATTTTTTTAATTATCTTTGATAAGAAACCGAAAAATAATATTTTTAATACAATATTTTACTTTAAAAGATACCTTCGGTTCAAACCAGGGATATATGTTAGTTCTAATACTGGCATCTGGATTAAGCGTTGGAACAATCCCCTCATCTTTAAGTTGGCTGGAAAATACGTTTCCTTTGACAACGTGAAATTCTAATACTTGAGCTAGAAGCTTGTGGTCTTTTTTCAAACTGTCTACAACATCAGGTGGAAGACTAGCGAATGCCTCGTCAGTTGGACCAAATACTGTAAACGGACCTAGAAAAAAATTTCAAGAGTCTCTTGGTAAATATTTACTTTGTATAAACACACTGTGCGTATGAACATTGACATATATTTTACATGATACTGTGCACTCTACCAAATAGCCGATAAACATGGTATGAATTGACCGTACTGTTTTGATCTATTCCTTTTCTCCTTTATCCTTGTTTAAACCTATGGATTATAATTTTGTCTGTATGATAATTGTTTCTGTCAGGAACCATAGAAGTCTCTTCAACACAAAAATCCTATGCCATCTTCTTTCCCTATACATATCCCATTCTTTGTCTTGTTTCCCTATACATATCCCATTCTTTATCTTCTTTCCCTATACATATCCCATTCTTTGTCTCCTTTCCCTATACATATCCCATTCTTTGTCTTGTTTCCCTATACATATCCCATTCTTTGTCTTCTTTCCCTATACATATCCCATTCTTTAACTCCTTTCCCTATACATATCAAATTCTTTATCTCCTTTCCCTATACATATCCCATTCTTTGTCTTGTTTCCCTATACATATCCCGTTCTTTGTCTTGTTTCCCTATACATATCCCATTCTTTGTCTTCTTTCCCTATACATATCCCATTCTTTGTCTTCTTTCCCTATACATATCCCATTCTTTGTCTTCTTTCCCTATACATATCCCATTCTTTATCTCCTTTCCCTATACATATCAAATTCTTTATCTCCTTTCCCTATACATATCCCATTCTTTGTCTTGTTTCCCTATACATATCCCGTTCGTTGTCTTGTTTCCCTATACATATCCCATTCTTTGTCTTCTTTCCCTATACATATCCAATTCTTGGTCTTCTTTCCCTATACATATCCCATTCTTTGTCTTCTTTCCCTATACATATCCCATTCTTTCCCTATACATATCCCATTCTTTGTCTTGTTTCCCTATACATCCCATTCTTTATATTCTTTCCCTATACATATCCCATTCTTTGTCTCCTTTCCCTATACATATCCCATTCTTTGTCTCCTTTCCCTATACATATCCCATTCTTTGTCTCCTTTCCCTATACATTTCCCATCCTTTATCTTCTTTCCCTATACATATCCCATTCTTTATATTCTTTCCCTATACATATCCCATTCTTTGTCTCCTTTCCCTATACATATCCCATTCTTTGTCTCCTTTCCCTATACATATCCCATTCTTTGTCTCCTTTCCCTATACATATCCCATCCTTTATCTTCTTTCCCTATACATATCCCATTCTTTGTCTCCTTTCCCTATACATATCCCATTCTTTGTCTTTTTTCCCTATACATATCCCATTCTTTGTCTTCTTTCCCTATACATATCCCATTCTTTGTCTCCTTTCCCTATACATATCCCATTCTTTATCTTTTTTCCCTATACATATCCCATTCTTTGTCTCCTTTCCCTATACATATCCCATTCTTTCCCTATACATATCCCATTCTTTGTCTCCTTTCCCTATACATATCCCATTCTTTATCTTGTTTCCCTATACATATCCCATTCTTTGTCTTGTTTCCATATACATATCCCATTCTTTTATCTTCTTTCCCTATACATATCCCATTCTTTGTCGTCTTTCCCTATACATATCCCATTCTTTATCTTTTTTCTTCATCTTTTTCTCTCAACATTTATATATTTGAAAATAAGAAAATATCTTATGATTGACAATGAGACATCTGTCTCTTGGAGTAATTGTATACATTTCATCGCCTGATTAGTCCATTCATCTTCATTTTCGCTAGCCTATTTTAATAAAAATGTGTCGAATCTAACAATATAAGTTATCATGCTTTGACCCAACTCCTTTCCCTATACATATCCCATTCTTTCCCTATACATATCCCATTCTTTCCCTATACATATCCCATTCTTTCCCTATACATATCCCATTCTTTATATTCTTTCCCTATACATATCCCATTCTTTGTCTTCTTTCCCTATACATATCCCATTCTTTCCCTATACATATCCCATTCTTTATATTCTTTCCCTATACATATCCCATTCTTTCCCTATACATATCCCATTCTTTGTCTTCTTTCCCTATACATATCCCATTCTTTATATTCTTTCCCTATACATATCCCATTCTTTGTCTCCTTTCCCTATACATATCCAATTCTTTGTCTTCTTTCCCTCTACATATCCCATTCTTTGTCTTCTTTCCCTATACATATCCCATTCTTTCCCTATACATATCCCATTCTTTGTCTTCTTTCCCTATACATATCCCATTCTTTGTCTTGTTTCCCTATACATATCCCATTCTTTGTCTTCTTTCCCTATACATATCCCATTCTTTATCTTCTTTCCCTATACATATCCCATTCTTTATCTTTTTTCCCTATACATATCCCATTCTTTCCCTATACATATCCTATTCTTTTTCTTTTTTCTTCATCTTTTTCTCTCAACATTTATATATTTGAAAATGAAAAAATATCTTATGATTGACAATAAGACAACTGTCTCTTGGAGTAATTGTATACATTTCATCGCCTGATTAGTCCATTCATCTGCATTTTCGCTAGCCTATTTTAACAAAAATGTGTCGAGTCTAACAATATAAGTTATCATGCTTTGACCCAACTCCTTTCCCTATACATATCACATTCTTTGTCTTCTTTCCCTATACATATCCCATTCTTTGTCTTCTTTCCCTATACATATCCCATTCTTTTCCTATACATATTCCATTCTTTGTCTTCTTTCCCTATACATATCCCATCCTTTATCTTCTTTCCCTATACATATCCCATCCTTTATCTTCTTTCCCTATACATATCCCATTCTTTGTCTTCTTTCCCTATACATATCCCATTCTTTGTCTTCTTTCCCTATACATATCCTATTCTTTGTCTTCTTTCCCTATACATATCCCATTCTTTGTCTTCTTTCCCTATACATATCCCATTCTTTATCTTCTTTCCCTATACATATCCCATTCTTTATCTTTTTTTCCTATACATATCCCATTCTTTCCCTATACATATCCCATTCTTTATCTTGTTTCCCTATACATATCCCATTCTTTGTCTCCTTTCCCTATACATATCCCATTCTTTGTCTCCTTTCCCTATACATATCCCATTCTTTATCTTGTTTCCCTATACATATCCCATTCTTTATCTTCTTTCCCTATACATATCCCATTCTTTATCTTTTTTCCCTATACATATCCCATTCTTTGTCTTTTTTCCCTATACATATCCCATTCTTTGTCTTCTTTCCCTATACATATCCCATTCTTTGTCTTCTTTCCCTATACATATCGCATTCTTTGTCTTCTTTCCCTATACATATCCCATTCTTTGTCTTCTTTCCCTATACATATCCCATTCTTTATCTTTTTTCCCTATACATATCCCATTCTTTCCCTATACATATCCCATTCTTTATCTTTTTTCTTCATCTTTTTCTCTCAACATTTATATATTTGAAAATAAGAAAATATCTTATGATTGACAATGAGACAACTATCTCTTGGAGTAATTGTATACATTTCATCGCCTGATTAGTCCATTCATCTGCATTTTCGCTAGCCTATTTTAACAAAAATGTGTCGAGTCTAACAATACTTATTCTAGGCTGGTACGGTTTAACATTAAAATAAATGTTGATTAAATAAATCAAAGAAATGGGGGGCACAATATGTGACAGTTGATTTCGTTATTGGATCGACATAGTGGACCGGCTTTTTTCTAATCTTGCTCAAATGTGACGGTCACTTGCTTTCATTTCGTATAAACTTTCAAAAACACAACATTCTTCTCTATCGAAACAAAATAAATATGTTTCATTCACATCTTTAATCTGAAAGATACATCATATTTCATTGATCATTCATCAATAGAGAGATATACAGATTACATACAATAAGTTATACAAGGTAACCGGTGTTTTCCAATCAATATTATTGTTAGCTATGGCTATTTATAAAGTTGTATTTTTATAGGTAAAGTGACCTACAATTCTATGGTTATTTATATACTTGTATAGTTATATGAGTAACGCTTTATCTTTCTCAAAGGTAAACTGAATGTCCAATATTATTTAACAGATAATTTTATGAACATACCCCCTGTTGCAAGAACGTCCGCTAGACCAGCGGCCTTGACGAGCTGTACTAACGTGTTTGCTCCTAGCTTTTCTGCCAATTCAACAAGATTATCCTGACATAAACATCCAGTGATTACACTCAGCAGAAAAATATACGAGAATTTCATGTTGGTTCTTCCAAAACTACTGCAGCAGTTACAATCACAAGGTTGTGTAAGGTTCTAAAAAATAGCCGCAGCCTGCTACGGTTGATTGTATAGTAAAAGTTACATAAACTGTTTTATCACGTGGTTCACACCCGTGTACAAGGTTAAAATGAAGAAGGTTCAAATGCCGGTCACAGAACATTTATAATTTTGTGTACATACAGGTACTTGATGTCATTCCGGTATTTGAGTGTGTGGTTGGATTACTGTCATTAGACAAATTACTTTTCTTTGAAAGGAGAGATAACTAAGGTACCAAGGGGTAATCGAAAATCATCATAGACCCCCCCCCCATCATAAGTCCAAACAATAGCATGGCCAATAATAAAAACGACGAAAAGATAAACAAAAACTTATCACAAAACGTTACTCTGAAAATTAAAAAAAATGAAGAACTCATGTGCTCCGGTAGGGTAAGCAGTTCCGGCTTCACTTGCGGTATCTGTGGTTAAGCTCATGTAAATATGTGATAACTCAATAAATATGAATAATGATAAATAGATAAAGATATGACTACCTGCAAACACTGACTATAGATGGCAGACTTGAGACAGGTAGAATAAACATGTGACCGGGTTTGATTACATTTTTAGCACTTAGTCCTTAGATTTTTTTAAATCTCCATCAGGGGAATCCCAATAGGATATAGAATGATATACTTCGCAAATTAATTTAAAACAAGCACTTTTCTCATTAGAACTGATTTAATTGGTAACAAAACACGCATACATTGAAAACAATATTTAATCATAAACTTTTGAATAGTTTAAAAATCAACGGCTGCATTTCAGAGTATAGAATTACAACAACATCATACAGTGGCAGACTTACCGGGGACACAGGGGACATGTGCCCCTCCCCAGTTGTGGTCACCAAATTGGTTTTTTTTTACATTATTTTATTGCAATTGAATCCGATTATCTAGATATGTAAGATGGACGGAAATGGTGACTTAACTTAAAGCTTGATCTGATTTACTACAACATAACTAGTGGCGGATTCGGGGTCGGCGAAGAGAGCGTACCCCCTTTTTGATCGGAAAAATATCGGGTTTTTTGGCAGAATATCGTCCAAAAATTATATATGTTCCGTTCTTTGGGAGTTACGTCCACCTTTCAAAAATTCAGGATCCGCCCCTGATATCGATGCGTGTGTGAATGTGAATATTTATAACTATATGTGTAATGTCTATTTGAAAAGAATTTTATGTAAATTACATGCTGATAGGTTAAAATCTTCTATCCATGAAATGACCGACAAAAATCGTTCTTTCAAAAATGAATAAAAAAATAGAGGTTAGTTCGGCATTGACCATATAGTCTTCGAAAGGGGGAGAGGGGTTTTAACATTCAGGAAAAAGATTTTTTTTTTTTGAAACTTTGATACTCAATTCCTGTTTTCCTTAATTTTTAATGGAACAAAAAAATATTTTTTCATACCCCTCCTGATAAAGAGGCGAAAGATAACAAAGCTATAATCAAACTCATAAGTCGAAAATGAACTGACAATGCCATGGCAAAAAAGATAAAGAACAGTATACAAATCACAACATAGAAAACTAAAGATTGAGTAAAAGGAGCCCCATAAAAAACTGGAGAGTTAGGCAGATCCAGCTCCACATGTGACACCCGTCGTATTAGCCTATGAAATATGTTGATAAGTGATATCACGTGATTAGGCATCACACAACAACGGATTGGTAATTGACTCTTATCTAACCATAATACATCACCGAATTCATAAACCATCGGTCATGTAAAGGAAGAAGATGAGCACAGTTTGTTCCTCCCATGGGAATGCCGATTGTTTGTTGAAAAACACGTCCTCCATACGTAACAAATATGTTGTCAATCAAGAAATCAAGCATCTTAATAATGTCAGTTTCAGAAAAAAATTTGTTTGAAAGTACGATTTATCCCTCCCTAAGACTAGATACTTGTATCTACAATGGCCACTCTTTTTTAAGAAACAAAGCAGGACCAATTCTTTCAATTTGTCTGTTAGTTTGGAATGCGAAATACTTGTGTTAAAGGTTAGAAACATCGAATGTTTGAATACTATTTCCAGATGTATCAAACTTAAATTGTATGTACTCTAACAGATCTTTCGAATTTTTTAGTATCCATATCTGATTCATACCGCCCCTAGCGTAGGTAGTTTCACAATAACTTTGAAGCCCGACTTCGGTTGATAAAATTGATGTTAATAATTTAGAGAGAGGTTTCCTGGAACACTTGGACGATCCAGCAATATAACGTTGGTTGTAATGACACAATGAAGGAAGATTTAGTCCTTCATCTTTGGTTGAAGTTTCAAAGGAACTTAGAACCGACCTATGATTATCAGGATTTACCCTCAAAAACGATGCCTGGGGCTTTCTCGGCATGGACAACAACATATTTGTCATGAAGGTACAGGTGCAACATTTGGGTCTTTAATGAAGCAAATTTTATTTTATCAAGAAATTTAGAATTTAAATATTAATATGAAATCCATGTCTTGTTTCATAACATATGTCTATTATTCGTGTTTCAATTGCCATATATATCAATGATGGATTAAGGAGGCGTTCACATTTAATCACAAAAATATCTTTTTGGCTTAAAATCGTTCAAAAACTTTTACCCTGCTTCGCTCGCCGCAATTTTTTCAAATACATATAATTGCGACACCCCCTTACCTTCAATCCTGGATCCGACCTGTAAACATATCTGGGCAACTCTTAATTTTTTGTTTTATGGTGTCCACCACTCCCTCCCCCTCAATTATGGATATTTTGGATCCGCCCCTGTCATAAGAAGTGCTCGACTTTATGCAATGCCTAATAAAATTTTAAGAACATTGTAACGTAAAAAAATGAATGTATTTTTAACCAATAAAGCGCCATAAACAGATGTTTACTCTAATGGACCATCATTTTGCTATGCTTATATTAAAAAAAGAAAATATTAAAAAATCTGCAAGTTTGTCGATATTGTCTAGGATTAATAATTTAATGATCTTTTATTTAAAAAGAGAGTTAATGAAGAACAGATTCTGTCTTTTTCAACTTAAAATATTTATTCGTCCAGGGAAATTTGAGCAGCTGTTAATCGTAATGTTAAAGATTTGGAGAAGTTACAATTTTTTTGTATTTGTATGGATTTCAATAATGACTGCATTGTAAAAGACAAAAAAAACCTCACCAGGCACCATGCTTATAATTGTGCGCGTCATACGCGCTTTTCTTCTGGAAATTACACAAATCAAAATGGTAATATGCCAAATAAATTACCGAGCTGAAGAGCAGTGATGACCCATAGTTCGGAAAGGTTTTGCCATTACAGCCAAGGTGAACTACTATTTCTCTCTAGTGACAATGTTTCTTTTCGAATACACATCAGAACACACCAGAACATTCAATTAGTAGAGGAACACCCTAGGCGTACAATTTGAATTTTATTGTGCGATATAGTTTTAGAGAAGCTGTATGTTTCTAGTATAGCTATTATGTCCCACTGTTGTAGTCATATCTTATTACAGTGTGACATTCAAAATCGTAAATAATCATGTAGGATCATCCCAGTTACATTGTGTTTAAATATGCGAGACATCTTATACTGAAGGACTTCAGAAACGGAACACTCGATTAGCTTTTGTCGAGCCTGCGACTATTGTCGCAGAAAGCTCGACATCGGGATAGTGATCCGGCGGCGGCGACGGCGTTAACTAACTTCTTAAAAGCTTTGTATTTTAGAAGGTGGAAGACCTGGATGCTTCATACTTTGTATATAGATGCCTTATGTTACGAAGTTACCGTCTGTCAAATGTCCATTGTCCTTGACCTCATTTTCATGGTTCAGTGACAACTTGAAAAAGTTAGGATGTTTTGTAATGTTAATTTCTCTCTTACTATGAGTAGTAGGATAACTATACTTGGTTTGTGCGTACCTTACAAGGTCCTCGTGCCCGTCAGACAGTTTTCACTTGACCTCGACCTCATTTCATGGATCAGTGAACAAGGTTAAGTTTTGGTGGTCAAGTCCATATCTATGATACTATAAGCAATAGGTCTAGTATATTTGGTGTATGGAAGGATTGTAAGGTGTACATGTCAAACTGGCAGGTGTTATCTGACATTGACCGCATTTTCATGGTTCAGTGGTCAAAGTTCAGTTTTTGAGTTTTGGTCTTTTTTTCTAATACTATATGCAATAGGTTAACTATATTTGGTATATGGAAATATTTTATGATGTACATGTCAGTCTTGCAGGTTTTATTTGACCTTGACCTCATTTTCACGGTTTATTGCTTAGTGTTAAGTTTTTGTGTTTTGGTCTGTTTTTCCTAAACTATAAGCAAGGTCAACTGTATTTGTTGTATGGAATGATTGTAAGCTGTGTATGTCTGTCTGGCAGGTATCATCTTACCTTGACCTCATTTTGGTGGTTCATTGGTCAATGATAAGTTTTCAGGGTTAAGTTTGTTTCTTAGACACTATAAGATAAGATAAGAATTTTATTAATCTAATCAAGAACCCATAAAGGGCATCATTTACAACAATATTAAGCACAATATGATTGGAAAAAAGAAAAACTATATCCTAATATAATACTATCATATATTGGACAGGATCAGAGCCTAACACATCATGTGTCTTACATAACATTAACAATAATTGCATAATAATTTTATATATTTTGTATCCACCTGGATCTTATTTCTAAACACTTAATTATATAATTGCCTAGGCACATAAGAGTTGGTAAATGCTCATTTGTGAACAGCCAGAAATATTTTTTATCCTTGGGTAATTCTTTAAAATTATTACAAAAACTGTTTACTTTATCCCATAATAATTTTCTCTGTTCGTTATATAAAGGACAACTTACTGTGAAATGGGTCTCATCTTCAATAGAATTTGATCCATGTGATAGGCAGTGATGACATAGACGCTGACTTCTCTCTATGTATTTTTTACTATACCTATCTTTCTCAATTTTAAGATTATAAGTAATAGGTCAACTATATTTAATGCATAGATTAATTGTAAGGTGTACATGTCTGCCTAGCATGGTTCATCTGACCTTGACCTCATATTCATGGTT